AATATGTTTGAAAAAAATATTTTTCAAAACTATTGTAACAAACATATAAGAAACCACTATGTCTTCCCCTATTCTCATGTATTTTTAGAAAGAAACTAAACAATATATAAATTGACCATGTATGAAAAATGTACAGCATAGGATTCAATGAGTTACAGATGAACTACACTTAATCAAGTGTAGGTAAAAATTAGATAAGCGCTTATATAAGATTTGTTCTAAAAAGGTGAGGTAATATGATCACTGTCATATTTCTAACATTTCCAAGTTACAATTCCACATTATACTAGGCAGTAAAACTGAATAAACTGGTTACAAGTGTATTAATAGTCTACATCGGGGTGTCAAACTGGCAGCCCATGGGCCAGATGAGTCACACGCAGGCCACACCCACTCCACCGCCGCGAAGGGAAAAACGTCAATGTCACATGACAGCAACGTGACACAGCAAGTTTGACACCTGTGGTCTACATATAGGTCACATTTAAAAACTATAATGTACTGATACAATTCCTGCCCCATCAATAGTCTCCAAAGTCCCAGGCATAGAGCTAATGTACAAAGTAAGCTCTTCAATCACCTAGTGGTTCTATTCATTTGTTGTTGCTGCTGCTGCTGTTGCTAACACAGGCCTTGTTTAGATACTTTTAAACAAAAGTAATGAACTTCTGGCTGCTTGTTTCACAAGGCAGGGGCATACAATGATGAAAATTAGCAGCTCCATTTAAAAGAGTCATATAGCTACAGCAAGTTAAACCTCTTCTGAGGCAAGCTTAACTACTGATTGTTATTTAATAATTGTATTATTTTTGTTACTGTTAACTATGTTTATACTTGTTTTAAATTGTTTCTCATGGAAACAATGAAATAAGAAGGGGCAATTATCCCTGACCACTAAATGTCCTCAAAAGCTAGTCTAGAAACTCCCGCACTCAAACCCCCCCCCCCCCCGGAGCATATTATAAAGGTATTAGTGGAGCAGGATAGAAAAAAAAGTATCTGCCATCTGAAGAAATCTATTTGCATAATGCTCACTTTTACTGTATAGTACCTAGATTCTGTGGTTCTATAAACTGCTCTACCATGGCCCTTTACTTACGTTGGTTCAAAAGTTCCTGAACACCACCAAACTTCTTCTTAAAAACAGCAGCTATGCCAGCACTCATGTGACAATCCTCACTAATACAGTGCGCCAAGGAATCTGTTTCTGGACAAGTAAAAAGATCTCCCTGCACATATTTAATCTGGGTAAAAATGAAAGAGAAGACTCAATATATGAGATAAAATTCCAGAACTAGAAAATGTAAGGCAATATATAAAGATAATATCACAATTTAAGCTGCTGACTGCTACACATGAGAGATTTTAAAATGTATTTACTAAATTTCTTACTATATAAAATAGAGCTTCTTTTGAGATATGCACAAAATAAAATAATAAAATAGAATTTATTTCCGAGAAAAATATGCATTATGCCTTCAGTAACATATGCTGCCAGCATCCATAAATTGAGCTTAACTCCTGGTGATTTCATTTAGTTTTCTGGGCAACAGTACTATACTGGCTTGCAACTGCCACTTTCTCAGACATTTTCTTGATTTCCTACAATAATAAGTTCAAAGCTGTTTTCTCTAATATCCAAAGGATGGCACATATCCACATAAATATTAAAGTCTCTTTATTTCCTTTCACAGCTGTACATTGTGCAAAGAAACAGAAGAGACTTTTCTAAAGTCTAACACCTAGATTCAGGATCCTCCTCTTTGTGGAGATTTGATACTAAGTTGGCTTTATTTTAATGTCAGCTTCTTACCTGGCTGTTCATCTGTTGACAGCTCTATACGTTTTGGATTACTGACTTGTTTTATTTTAATTTATTCAACTGCCTTTCTTATTTTTAAATTTGTATTAGGAAAACTAAAATTTTACATTTTTCTTTTGAATCATCGTCATAATTCTCTTCAAAAGGAACTTCCATTGAATTAAGCAATCATTTTCTTAAAGCCTTCAGTGGAATCATTACACTGACTACTAGCAACTATAGTTAAAACAGACACAACTGGTTAACTTATTTTAGAAACAAAATTCTACAGTTGCTGAGTTAGGGGACTCTGAGTTGTGGACTCTGTGAACGGCACTTGGTGAATCTATAAAACAGAGAATTACGCCACCAGTACTTATAGAGTGCCACTGAATTTTTTAGTATGCTTTTCTAAATAGCAGAATCTGGTGTGTTTCCACTAAGAAAACATACATCACTGCAAACATATCAGGAAAATAATAATTATAAACCTTTAAGGGAGTAATTATTTTATCTCTTGCTACTGAAATCTAAGGCTTCATGCTATATAAAAATAGATTTTGAGATATTGGGAAACTTCTTATATAGACTCATGCAGCAATCTATTCTGGGAACTCTTATGCTGTAACATAAAATCAATTTAAGTATTCCATGCTAACAATCAACAAATCATTTATTCTCTAAACATTAGAATGGTAGAAAACTCTTCTATTCTTTCTAAAGGTACATGTCTCTTACCGCAGAACTTTAGGACAATTTCTGTCTTAATGACCTGTGATACTGGATTAAAGGCTTATTACCTGTGATTAACAATTAACAATTCTTAAACCTTCATTTTCTGTATCAATACTAAAAACAGTCCTATCAAAATTTCAATAGGTCCAATGAATTATATGCAAGTTCCAATTACTTTCAAGTAAATATACATGATTTAAATTGGGTTAGTTTATATTATGGTTTGTTTATAATATAATCAATAACACTGCAGAAGGTAAAAACGCAAGGGAGCTTCACCTTGACTTCACTTTCTATAATTATTACCTCTTTGCAACCTGCAAAGGAGAAATTATTTGGGAGAGTTTTTGTCCTTAGATGATCTATTCTAATTTAATTAATATTCTAATTTAATTTATATGATAATATATCATATAAAATATCACTTTTATGTATTATTATATATGATGTATATCATATAAAAGTGATGTTCACAGAACACACTTAAGTTCAATCAGATCACATTAAATTTCACATAATTTGGAATTTTATATCACTGTGATTTTCAAGCATGATTTATGACTTAGAATATAGCAAACACAGCCTCTGCACAACATGCTTAAGGTCCATAGTCTGCAAAATAATGCAATATGCATGGAAGCAAATATACATCCAGACATATGCACTGACACCAATGACACAGACTTCAGAGGATAATTAGAACTGCAGAAAAAACAATTACTACCAACCTGCCTTCCATTGAGGACCTGTATACTGCACAAGTCAAAAAGAGGGCTGTGAAAATACTTAGACCCCTCGCATCCTGGACATAAACTGTTTCAACTCCTACTCTCAAAACTACCTATAGAGCACTGTACACCAAGACAACTAGATAGAACAGTTTTTTCTTGAACGTCATAACTCTGCTAAACAAATAATCCCCTCAAACTGTCAAACTATTTACTAAGGCTACATTACTATTGTTATTGGTCTTCTCATGGTTCCTGTTGGCCATCTCCTCCCACTTGTGACTGCATGACTGTAACTTTGTTGCTTATATCTTGCGATTTATATTGATATAGTTTCCTAGTATGATTTGATTGCTTATTGTATCGTATGATTGTCACTGGGTGTTGTGCCTTGTGATTTTTGACGAGTGTATCTTGTCTTTTTATGTACACTGAGAGCATATGCACCAAAGACAAATTCCTTGTGTCCAATCACACTTGGCCAATAAAGAATTCTATTCTGTTCTATTCTATTAGGCTCCAAGCCTCACCTTTCTTTTAGCGTATTTATTTGGAACTATTCCTCTTGGCCCCATAAAGTTTCTAGTAGATAGTAGCCACTTTGTTAAAAGGAAAACAGCATTGACTTAAACATTGCAGAATGTATTATTAGAGGATGGATAAAATATAAAAAGTAGTACTGAAAATGGATTGTATTATAACCTATTTGGCAGAACTATATTGCTAGCATTTTATGATGAAGTGAAACCTATGGAAAAATTAATTCCAAGTTTTACAAATATGATTTAGGATTTTTTTCCTGCACAAACAAAAGCCTAAAATCAATCCTCCATAGCAAGATGTTTTTTTTTTTAAAGAGACCAGCTAAAACTATCTTTAGAATTCAAAACTGAATTGCAATAAATTTTTTAAAAAACTCCACTACAAACCCTTTCTTCATTTCCAGAAATCCGGGTATTAGCCATAACTGAGTGGATCACAGGGGGTTTTTTTCAGCTACAAGGACTAGAAAATAATAATGTTCACATTCATGGCAGGAAAAGCAAACAAAGAGAAATGACTACTAAATATATATATATAATTGCTGTAAACCCAAACTATCAAATACGAATTAGGGCACCAGTTACGTAGCGATAACCTTCCCCCCCCCCCCCCACCCAAAAAAATATTATTTCTGAGACTTTTTAACACATCCTTCGCCTTCTCGTGTGAAAAGGCCTACCCAGGGCCACAACAATACTGTTTCTGAGACAACCGGCCAAGTTGCACCAAAGGGCGGGCGGCTGCCTCTCGAGGCGCCTTCAAGGCATGACGTCTTTTTCCTTAGCCCGCCCCCGCCCACGAACTCTCTAAGCCAGCGATGGCGAAAGTAAGGAGAAAAAAAAAAGAACCACACCGGCCACCAGCCTTGTACATATACAACGGCAGCAATCAGTTTCGCCTCCCACTAAGTTCTAAGTTCTGTTATGGCAACCGTCTTTGGGAGCCCCTTAAACAAAACACACAAAATGTCAGCCTTCGCGTGGGCCTCCCTAGGAAGAGGACTCTATGGCACCGGCCAAGAGCATGCGTTATAGAAAGAAGGGGATCCGTGAAGTGCCATTGAAAAAAAGCTTCTGGGGGGAAAAAATTGTCCCGCACATGCGTAGAAAAGCCATCTCGAGAATGGAGGGGTTGAAAGGGGACAGAAACGGTCCAAACGCACCCGTCAGTTCGAAAGAAGCCAACGCATGCGTGCAGTTTTAAACCAGCGCAAGCATCCGCGGGAGGAACTTTTCTACCGCGCCTGCGCGAGGGCACCCTCGCCTTCTCTTTGTTGGGCTTCGGGGGGTTGGGCGCCATTTTGCGCGGCGGCTGAGTGGAGGCGCTGATTGGGTTTCGGGGACCGGTGGCGGAGCCAATCAGAGCGGGACCCGAACCGGGGGAGCAAGGCACGGTGAGTTCGAGCAGCCAATATGGAGCCCCCGAGCGCCGGCCCAAGAGCCGGGATTGGCGGGGCCGAGTGGCCAGTCAGAAGGCCGCGCGCGGGCTAGGGCTGGGCGAGCGCTGGGGCAGCGAGTGGCTGTGGCCCGTTGGCGCCCGGAACCTACATCGAAGTGGGATGGGTGGCTGACGTGGGAACCGGGATGTCACTGTTTGGGGCGAATAGGGTTAGGTAGTCCAGTCTTGGTCGGCCGGTCCCCGCGGGACCGCCGGAGGACCTTCGGAAATGCCTTTGTGTGGCCTTCGCCCGAGGAAGGGGACGAGAGAAAGCCCGTGGGGCGTTTCCTCCGGTGGCTTCACGGGGCGGCTTTCAGTGGCCTGTGTAAGAGGTTCGCCATCCTGTGTTTGGCGGCCTCTGGCCCTGGAGGTCAGTTTCACTCGCACGCCTTTCAGGGCACGGTCTGTAACCGAACACCGCGGGGCTGGGAGCGCTGCGTTTCTCCGTCAGCTGCTCTGCCAAATTTTTGCCTCTAAAAAGTACGCCTTCGGTCGAGACCGATATTGTAACCGAGAAGGCCTCTTCGTAGCTGCTTTTTCCCATGACACAAAACAAAGGGGTTTTCCTTACATATCGGGTTACAATTATACTAAAATAATCTGCCTCAGATGAAAGCCACTGCTGCTTATGCCCGTTATAAACTGCTCTCATACCTTACTACCAATGTACATTGCATAGGCTGACCGGTAACCCGAAAGAAGAACCTTTCAATAAACGGTCGAGTTAAGGCATGTTTTTCTTCTCTCGTGTTAGAATAACGTTATGGTGATTTATTGTATTTTTTTGTGCTTGAAATCTTTTTATGTACTTCCTGTACAACATCATTTAGTGGCTTTCAACATAGTTCCATATGACAAAGAGTATATGGAATGTAGTATATACTACATACTATATAGTATGTAGTATAGGATTTCTTAAATTCAAGGTTAGGGAACAATAGATTTGTTTTTGTTTTGTAGTTTCATTATGTTCTGTGTTTGTTTATATATTATACCATTGAACATAAAAGCTTACAGAGACCGTGCTTTGTGGCAGAAAGGGAATGGGTTGTATTACTGGCTTTTTAAAAAAAAAAGCTAATCAAATTACTGTTTATATGCAAGTATAGGTGAAACTCGAAAAATTAGAATATCATGCAAAAGTTCATTTATTTCAGTAATGCAATAAATGGGGTTTTCATGACAATTATGATAAATCAAAGCTTGAATTTTCTCGCTTTGCATGTAATGAGTCTATCTCATATATTAGTTTCACCTTTTAAAATTACTGAATTATTTTACTGAAATAAATGAACTTTTGCACGATATTCTAATTTTTCGAGTTTCACCTGTAAGCTTAACATGTAGTTAAAATAGAGAAAGGAAGGCGATATTTCAAATATAAGTACAACAGTTTTCAATTGGCTATCTCTGTAATTTGACAAATGTGCATCATTTTTCTGCTGAAAACAAAAAGGATAGAATTTAATAGTAACAAAATAACAGTTGGAAGGAACCTTGGAAGTCTTCTTAATCCCAACCCCGTGGTCAAGCAGAAACCCTATACCATTTCAGACAAATGGCTGTCCAATCTTTTCTTAAAAATCTCCAGTGTTGCAGCACCCACAATTTCTGGAGGGAAGTTATTCCACTCATTAATACAAAATCTCACAATAGTATAGCTTGCTTGTCTCCTCCTTGGCCTCACAACTGAATTTAGAAGGAAGTCAGACCTCAGACCTGAAGTCAACATCAGTAGGATTTGCTGAAATAATGTGTCTTGTACAAATACATTTGATGAAAAACAATTCCAGTTTCTTGACTGAATTAACATTGGCAGTGTCCTGCAAAATTAATCAGAACATGTGAATATTTGAATGTTGTTTACCTGAACCATTGTAGTCCCACTCCTGCTGGTTTCAACCTACCTCATGCTTGGATCTGTTGGAGGTACTTCCACTACTTCAGTCTCCACCAATCCTAAGGCCAATATACTTAGAGCTGTTAAGTAGGAAACTATCAGATGTTTGTTGTTGACAATTATAAATTCCTTTCCAAGAGGATGTAAATTTCCCACTGAACAGTTTGCCTATTACTTTGCCTATTGTTGATGGGCGTAAAATGAGTAAAAACTCTGTGCATTCTTGAATTCCCAAGAGGATAAGAAGGTATAAACTGAGTAATAAATGCAGTAATACCTATAGTAAAAAAATTGCTTGATAAGTGCATGCCCAAGATGGCGGCTCCTTGCTGAGCCGCGATTACCGAAGGGGTAATACTGGCAATTACAGGGGGTCTCTGGGGGCCAGTTGCAACATCTAAGGCCCCCACCCGGCTAGAGGAGGTTTTCGCCGACCATTTGAGAGCTTTCTTGCTCTCCAGGACATGTTTGACCGAGAGGAGTCGGTCATGACATGGAGGAAGTGCGGGGCGGCGTTATTGGCCGGATGGCTGCGGCGGCGTCAGCAACACAGCACCCTCGGTGGGTACCTCGTCAGAACCCTGGAAGCCCAGCATGTTTCTAAGGGCTAGGGGAGACGAGGATGAAGGCGAGGTGGCTGACAGTGGCTGCGATGGCGGCAGCAGAGGCGGCGGTAATGGCGGCTGCTGGCTGGTGGTGGGATGGCGGCAGCAGCCGAAGAGCTATGAGGGAGGTGGTGGGAGCAAACCCAGCAGTTTTCTACCCTGGACTGTTCACCACCAATGTCTTGGGGGTGATTAAATGGGGCAGCGATGTGACCAGGGAAAGACCTGGGGGTGATTTGGGGGACTGGAAGATGATTTAGGGGTGTTTTCCCCTGGACACTTTTGTACTGCTTCCCCCCCTCTCTTGGGCCAGCTTTCAGGCCTAGGATAGTCACTTGCTACCCGCCCATGTCCAGTCTGCTGGAAACTACCATCTTTCCATCTACTCCCCACTTTATTATCTCCCGATATGGCCGCTGCACTGACTTTGTAGACTGACTTCTGTTTCCTGTCCACATGGACTGACGTTGCTCCATCTTCTCAGACAGAGAATCGTATCTTGGGACATGAGTATTGAGGGAGTTGGCTCCTGGCAGTTATTTTAACATCAACACCATTGATACCTTGGATTATCTTGAGACTCCTCCCACTGCCATGAAAGGGCAGTGGAGTTTCCAAAGTACAAATACCTAAGACTTATGTTTTCTCTTTGTTGGACTTCTAAATCATCATAGTCGACCCCCTGATTATAAGCCACCATTTACTCCCGATATTTGATGTATTCAACAGCTGAGCTCCTTGGGCTGCGAGACTCCCCCCTCTCGCAGATTTGGCCCTCTACCCTATCGAGGGCCTACCTTGATGACGGGTCTTGGAACCCCGAGAGGTGGCATGCAGCAAAAAAGAGAGTGAGGGATTTTTAACGAAGGCTTGTGTAAAGTTTTGAAGGGGTTTGAAGGGTGGGAAGGACCTGGGGGGGTCCACAGAACCTCAGAGCGGCTGAGTGGGTTTGAGGGTCAAGGCGGGAGGAGAGAGGGAGGGGGTTTAGATAGGGAACCGGGGGCTGAGGTGAAGGGCTATTCCATCAAAATAGTGGGTGGGAGGGGCAGATATGGCGGGCGTAGGGCATATCATGTTCGGGGAGTACGCACCCGCTGCCTACAAGCGGTGGCATGCTCTGACCCTCAAGACGCCTCTTGTATTCCAGGTTGTGCAGAGTCTCAGGGCCCGAACCTTCAGCTGCTGTTGTGTAATGTCAGGTCTGCGACTAAAAAAGCCCCCCTCATTCATGATTTAGTTCAGGAGGGGGATGGGGACCTGGCAGGGATTACGGAGACCTGGTTGGGCCACGGGGGGGGGGTTCCCTTCATGGAGATGTGCCCACCAGGCTTCCGTGCATTTCATCAGCCAAGGGCCCAGGGGAGGGGCGGGGGGGATAGAGGTGATTATTAAAGAAAGTCTTAGTCCGAGGGAGGCCATTGTTCCTCAGATAGCCGGCTGTAAATCCCTCCTTGTGAATTGGGGTCATGGGGTGCAGATGGGTTTGTTGATTGCGTACCTGGCTCCCTGCCACGTGACAGCAGCCCTGCCTGAGCTGCTCGACGTAATAGCCGGGGTGGCGGTGGATACCCCCAGGCTTCTGGTCATGGGGGATTTCAACCTGCCATCCGTCAGTGAAACGTCAGAAGCAGCTCGGGGGTGTATGGCTTCCATGACGGCCATGGATCTGACCCAGTTAGTTCATGACCCCTCCCACATCGGGGGACACACGCTGGACTTGATTTTTGTCTCTGGTCAGTGGTTGAATGATCTTACAATAGGAGACCTAGTTATTAAGCCCTTGTCATGGACAGATCACTCGCTCCTTCAGTTAGACTTTCGAACCGCTTCCCCTCGTCGCAGGGAGACGGAACCGACCAGGTGGTTCCGTCCCAGGCGCCTGATGGACCCTGAGAGATTCCTGACAGAGCTTGGGCCATTCCCAGAGACTCTGACTCGCGACTCGGCTGAGGAACTGGTGGCCGCCTGGGATAGGGCGGCCGCTGGAGCCTTGGATTGCGTCGCGCCTTTGCGGCCTCTGACTCGGTGCCGATCTCAACCAGCTCCTTGGTTCTCCGAGGAACTGAGGGAGATGAAGCGCCGGAAAAGATGCCTAGAGAGCGATTGGAGGTCCAGCTGTACTGAATCTGACCAGACACTGGTGAGTTCTTATCAAGACCTACCTAGTGGCGATAAGAGTGGCAAAATCCAACTATTTCTCCACTCTTATTGCATCTCCAGAGAACCACCCAGCCGCCTTGTTTAGGGTGACCTGCTCTCTCCTACGGGAGCGAGGGAGGATCCCTTGCAGGGTAGAGCTGAGGATTTTGGACAATTCCTGCATGATAAAATCACTCAGATTTGGGCCGGCCTGGACTCCGATTGGATAGCTTCGGACGGGATGACGGAGGTGAGTCTTGAAAGTGTCACCTGGGAAGAGTTTGACCATGTGACTCCTGAGGACGTGGACAGGATTTTGGGGAGGTTTAATGCTACCACATGTTTACTGGACCCGTGTCCCTCCTGGTTGGTGCTGGCCTCCCGGGAGGTTACACGAGGCTGGTTTCAGGAGATTACCAACGCTTCATTGAGTGAGAGGGTCTTCCCATCCACCCTGAAAGAGGCGGTGGTGAGGCCCCTCCTCAAGAAGCCTTCCCGGCTGTATTAGCTAATGTCCTGTCTCCAACCTCCACTTTGCGGCGAAGGTTGTTGAGAGTGTGGTGGCGCGACAACTTCCTCGATTCCTGGATGAAGCTGTCTATCTAGATCTGTGCCAGTCGGGCTTCAGGGCGGGTTACAGCACGGAAAGGGCATTGATCGCATTGGTTGATGATCTCTGGAGGGCCCGGGACAGGGGTTGCTCCTCTGTCTTGGTCCTCCTAGATCTCTCAGCGGCTTTTGATACCATCGATCATGGTATCATGCTGCGTTGGCTAGAGGGGGTGGGAGTGGGGGGCACTGTGCTACGGTGGTTCTCCTTCCTTTCTGACCGTACACAGTTTGTGTTGACGGGGGGCAGAGGTCGACCTCGAGGTTCCTCACTTGTGGGGTGCCGCAAGGGTCGGTACTCTCGCCTCTTCTGTTTAACATTTATGTGAAGCCGCTGGGTGAGATCATCCGTGGCTTTGGGGTGAAGTGTCAACTGTATGCCAATGACACGCAGTTGTACATTTCTACCCCAGGCCACCCCAATGATGCCCTTGACGTGATGTCCCGCTGCCTGGAGGCCGTGCAGATCTGGATGGGAAGGAACAGGCTCAGACTCAACCCCTCCAAGACTGAGTGGCTGTGGCTCCCGACGGCCCGATATAGCCAGCTGACACCATCACTGGCTATTGGGGATGAGATCTTACCCCCCTCAGAGAGGGCTCACAACTTGGGCATCCTCCTGGACTCATGGCTGTCCTTGGAGGATCATATGACGGCCGTGGCCAGGGGGGCCTTTTATCAGGTTCGCCTGATCTCCCAGTTGTATCCCTTTCTGGATCGGGACGCCCTGCGCACAGTCACTCACGCCCTCGTCACTTCTCAGCTGGACTATTGTAATACTCTCTACATGGGGCTCCCCTTGAGGAGCACCCGGAGGCCCCAGCTGGTCCAGAATGCAGCCGCGCAAGTAATAATGGGGGTGACTCATCGCTCCCATGTAATACCCATCTTGCGCGAGCTGCACTGGCTCCCGGTGGTCTTCCAGGTGCGTTTCAAGGTGTTGGTTACCACCTTTAAAGCGCTCTATGGCTTAGGACCTGGTTATCTACAGGACCGCATTCTGCCACCGATTGCCTCCCACCGACCAATACGCTCCCACAGAGAGGGTCTCCTCAGGGTGCCGTCAGCCAAACAGTGTAGGCTGATAATCCCCAGGGGGAGAGCCTTCTCTGTGGGGGCCCCAGCCCTATGGAATGAACTGCCCCCGGACATACAAAGGATCCCCGACCTCCGTGCCTTCCATTGCGCTCTGAAGACCCTATTATTCCAACAAGCTGGACTGACAGGATAAAGGTTTTTTAAATTGGGTTTTGATAGGGGTTTTAAAATGATCTTAGTTGGATGTTTTAAATTTGGCTGATTGATTGAATTATTTTAATAAGCTTTTAATTTTTGTTGTACATTGTTTTTACCATGGCTGTTCACCCCCCTGAGTCCCTCGGGAGAAGGGCGGTATACAAATATAATAATAATTTTTTTTTTTTAAATCCTCCCTCTCATAACTTCTAGAGGCTCAGTACTTTAGCCCAGTCATCTGCCCCTAATGCCACCAGTAAGTTTCCCTTTTGAAATTCTGCTTCACCTGGAAATTTTCTTTGTTTCCCAATTTCTACCATTTTACTATGTTGCAGTTGGACCCACTTTGATAGTTTAGGGTTCCCAGATAACTTGCACTCAGTACACACTGACAATGTTCTATGTTTTTTTTTTAGGTTTCTGATTGAAGATTGGATAAAGAATCGATACAGAAAACTATGGAGCAGTATACCACAAACAGCAGTAGCTCAACAGAACAGATAGTTGTGCAGGCTGGACAAATACAGCAACAGGTATGATAGTTATTTGTAATTCAGATTTCAATATGTTGGTTCTTAACAGTTTTAAGTGCCCAGAAGAATAGGTACTTCCATATTCATCGTTAGAATTGTGCAAAGTATTGGGTTATCCTTTTTGCTGCAAAAGAAGCATCACTTCTTTGAGTGTAAAAGCAATCATGCTCCTCCCCAGTGTTTTTGCCCATATATGTGCACAGAGGGTACGTCTGCCAGAATTTCTGCCAAAATGAATTGTACTTCCATATGGTTTGCATAGCCCTACAAGGGCACATTCAGTCTCTATACATTAAAATATAATTATGAAAACTAAACGGTATGTCTATTTCTTGGCCCGGTCTAACACTAATGTAACGATTTGTTTGTGGGTGATGTTTGCATAAGATAATTTAATACTTAACTACAGTACTACGTATAAAGTTAGAGATCTCTTGGATTAATGTAAATTAGGTTATGCTTATCATACTGGGGTTTGTTTTTGTTACCTATGTTTCTTAAATTTCAATGCTTTTTTCTGAGAGAGATCACAGTATAAGGCTTACACTGATTTAGGCACAATACAATATCAGTGTGTTCAGATTTCTTCCTTCCAGAAGCCACAAGTCAGTCGTCTGTTTCTTTTCTGTCCTTATTTAGAGCTTCCAAACTTTGCACTGAGAAAGGGTGTACTTTGCTTCTTTTTGACCTGAGAATAATATTCAGATTAAACATTGATAGGCTACCACATTAGAAATGGACTCACTCATTCCTCCTTGTAGGGCCTGTTGTCTCTTCTGGCAGTTTTTTTTTTTTTTAATCTTGTCTTGAGCATTTCCTCCTGCCAAGTTTCAAGCTCTTCCTGTTCCTGTTCCCAGCAGCAGGGTGGTGTGACTGCTGTCCAGTTGCAGACTGAGGCTCAGGTGGCATCTGCCTCAGGCCAGCAAGTTCAGACCCTCCAGGTAGTGGTGATCTATCTGTTGTTTTTGTGTGAGCACTGCATGAATCACACTATCACTGCATGTTCAATGCTGTGTTTGCACTGGGGCTTGAAATGGAAACAGAAAAATAGTGGCAGTTATAATTATAAATAACATCTCATGTTCCTAAATGGGATGGAATAAGCTTCTCAACCGATTCTCATGCTTGCTGTGAATCAAAGGAGTTATAGTTCAATATATGAACTATATGCATATGTATGGGTGATAGCTCATTCTAACTGTAGCAGATAACAGTCAAATTAACTGTTAAAATGTTGGATTATCCAGTTAAAAATGCATGTCGCAAACTAACTTATCTGAAACTTCTATTACTACAGATTTTTAAAAATAGGGATAATATGCTGGGGGGGAGGGACTGTGGCCTTGCCACCCTTCAAAAAATCTTTTTAATAAAGAATACTTAAAATTATATATTTGAGGGGTTGTTTTCCCTTTTACCAGTGAGATTTGCAAAAAAAAAAAAGAATTTTAGTTTGAGAGATTTAGTTAATGGATTATGTTTAGGACAAAAATCAATAATATATGTTAGCTTAAAATATTAAAATACTGGAGAACAAAGATTTCAGATCCTGATTTGTGTTCTTCTGAAATGGTAAATGTCATGTGAAGACTCTTATCATTTGTTAAAAAAGACAAGAATACTATTACTTTCCGTTTCCTCTGCCCTTTTAAGGATTAGTGTTACAAAGCACATTAACATCCATCTTTTGATGTCATCAGAGGTATCTTTTTTCTTGTTTAGAATTTTTTTTTGCATTATTACACTTTTCAAAATATTCAGTATTTTATTATATCTAAGAAATAATAAAATAATGTTGATAAAGTTTATTTGCATTGCATTGACCTACTCTGAATTTTACAATATGTTCCTTTTTAGCTCTTCTATTTCTTGTTTTGTTAGTCTTTTCCAGCCTAGAATTATCCATATATATTCAATTTCAAATCCATAATTTGGTAATTATGAAAATAAAAATCCAGTGTTTTGAAATAGTTTTTATTTAGCTGGCCTAAGTCGCATAGAATGTCTCCCTTCAGAAGACATTCATATTTTATATTGTACTTGGATTTCCATTTCAGGTCCCAAATACGTCTGAATTAGTTACAAGTGCACATACAGGTAGACCTTGACTTATGACCACAATTGAGCCCAAACTTTCTGTTGTTAAGCAAGACAGATGTTAAGTGAGTTTTGCCCCATTTTACAACCTTTCCTGCCTCAGTTATTAAGTGAATCACTGCAGTTGTTAAGATAATAATATGGTTGTTAACTGAATGTGGCTTCCCCATTGACTCTGCTTGTCAGAAGGCTGTAAAAGGTGATCGCAGAACCCTGGGACACTGCAACCGTCATAAATACATGCCAATTGCCAAGTATCCAAACTTTGAACACATGACCATGGGGATGCTGCTATGGTTGTAAGTGTGAAAAACAATCATAAGTCGATCTTTTCAGTGCCATTGTAACTTCGAACAGTCACTAAACAAATGGTTGTAAGTCAAGCACTACCTGTATTCATAAAAACATTTGAGTTTCATTAAATTTAGCAGCCTATCTTCAAAAGATACTGCTACTTCTTGGTGTCTCAAATTAATAGGAGATGATATAGTATGCAGTTCTTTGGATTCAGTCTTAGAAAAACATGGTGGCTGCTTTGAGATGTTGCAAACAGGTGGTCTGTTTGTATCCTGTGCACTCAAAACAGTTGTTAAGTGAGTTGTGCTCAAATATGCGATGTTTTTAGCCTTGGTTGTTAAGTGAATTACTGCAATTGTTAGCTGAATCACAGTGTCATTAAACAGATCTGACTTCCTCCATTGACTTTGCTTATCAGAAGCCTGCTGGGAAGATCAGAAATGGCAATCACATAACCCTGTGATGGTCATAAATCATAAATCACTTTTGTCAGTGCCATTGTAACTTCAAATGATCAAAATTCGATGTTCAGGACTAGCTATATGTCGTTGGGAAACAGGTTATGAGTTTGCACCCTGCAATTTTCAGGGTCATTTCCCTTTTCCTCCTCCTCTTTCTCCTTCTCGATTAGAAATGGTCTTCCAGTTGTTAGCCATTTTTTATTTTCTGATGCTTCCAAAACCCTCAAAGATGGGTTTGCCAATGACTTTAGTCAGAATCCATGGAGCTCAAATTGCTTGGCCCATGTACTTGGCCTATTGTGACTCCTTTTGTCCCACAAACTCGTCCCAAATGTTAGGGTTGCTTTGTCAGGCTTTTCATTTTTTGTGGTCAGTCCTTTCCTACTTTCAAGAGTTTTGTAGAATTAATGCTGATTTGCTCTAAACTGCAAGTTATGTTGGAACTGAATTATTCCATTGTCATGTCGCTTGATCTTCTCTATAGTGGCACGATTCTTTGTTTTAGTTGCTCTGTAGCCTCTGCAGTTCTCCTTATTGTGCTTTACATACAGATTTGCTTTGTTTTTTTTATTTTTCAAGTTTCCTTGCCTCAAATTCTTCAAAGTGCTCAAATCTGTGCAAATTTCTTTATCTTTAATTCCAGTCACATTTTACATTTTGTTCTTTTATTTCTTAATAATGTCATTCCTTTGTATTTTTATATATTTGTATTTCCTATTATTCCTTCATATTTTTATATTATTATGTTTAGTCACACAGTCATCAGATATTTAGACTTGATTTGACATTTTTATTCACCTATCCAGGCCTTTTCAGGGACCTAGAATAGGCAGATACTGTTTTTGATGGCATATTATGATGATGATGATTTTCTGCAGAACTTCTACATAGGAAAATGTTGGTGCCTGAAGCTAATTGCTTATCTGAGCTTGTGTTTCATTGTGGTTCTTTTTTTTTCCCATTCTTTAGGTCCAGGGTCAGCCACTGATGGTACAAGTGAGTGGAGGCCAGCTAATCACATCAACTGGTCAACCAATTATGGTACAGGCTGTACCTGGAAGCCAGGGTCAAACTATTATGCAAGTTCCGGTTTCAGGATCACAAGGACTTCAGCAGGTCAGCATGCCCAAATGATGTACAAATTAGTGTTAAGCAATGCAGTGATTCTATTAAATCGGTTTTCAATCAAATCGATTTACCAAAATCAATTTAAAGACTAAATCATCAAATTACTAGCTTCAGATTGATTCAGCAATTTGGAAAAGGTTCTGTACTAGCATTTTCCCTAATTAATTTGAAGGATCAAATCAATTAGTTTGAATGGGTTCAAATTAATCCATACATTTCTAGATAAACCAGCTGTGTCTAGAAAAATACCAAAAATATTCCTCTGCCTAGGAAAATACAAGGAAGCTCAAACTGAAGTAACCATGACTTGTTGCTTTCCCCATCAACTGAAATTTAAAGATGCAATATGTCTGAATGAACAGAAACTCATCTATGTTCTTTTTGCTAATAAATGTAAATTATTTCAATAAATTAGTTTAATTCTTTTTTTAAAAAAAGTATTACATTTCTGTGAAGAAATTTCTTACATTTTTACTCTGTGAAACAAAATAATGTTTGTGTTTACCATTTTTATTGTAATATAGGTAGGCCTTGCTTAACAACCAGGTTTTTTTTAACCAATCCTTCAAAGTTTTGACAATCCCCTCAAAAGTACTGATGACCCAGTTCCAGAGTTCTGATGACAGCATAATCATGATTGCATTTCAGGCCCTTGGGAACCCAGCACACTTTTACAGCCAGTTGCAGTGTTCCTTGGTTATGCTTACAACTGCCATATTTGCTTAATGCTTAATTTGCTTAACCACAAAAAAGGTCGTAAAATTTGGTTGGTCACGTGGGTGCTTCAACTTATGACTGTAATGACTTTAATGTAATGACTGTAATGACGGACATTCCAGGCTCCATTACAGTTGTAAGTAAAGGACTACCTATAGGGCCTCTCAACTTAATCCAGTTGGTGCTTCCCAAAATCATTAGTACTGATGGTGGATCTGTGATTCTCCAGATGTTGCTGGAATACTTGGTAGTATCACTTGGGTTAGTTGCCTAGCCTTCATCTTTAAAGGAAGAGACTTATAACAATAAAAATAATGCGCTGCTTCCAAATGATGAGATTTCAGCTTCATTTTGTAATCTTTGTAATAAAATTAGTTTAATATTATTAATTGGGGTCATATTGAACATTGTGCAAGAATACTCCCCTGCTTGATAAAGAAGAGCTAATACTATATGTTAAAACACTTCTTGCTTAAGACTTCATATTCTTTTGAATTGTGAAGAATGTTTCCTAGGAGTATTTTTTAATACTCTTGCTGTAGAAAATACGTATAGTAGTGCAGCAAACTCACTCTTCAGCATTGTTTTATTGTTGCTTTTGTTATTTAATGTGCATAATTTCCCCCTAGCTTTTGTTTGGTTAACAAATCACCTCAGAATAATCAATTAAAGCCATAATTAGGAATAGTAGATAACAGCATCTTCTTCTATTTTATATGTCCACAGATTCAGTTGGTCCAACCTAGTCAGATTCAGATTCAAGGTGGACAAGCGGTACAAGTTCAGGGCCAGCAGGGCCAGACACAGCAAATCATCATCCAGCAGCCACAGACAGCAGTAACAGCTGGCCAAACACAGGTAGCATATTAAAAGGGGGAAGAAGTTGGAGAGGGGTTCAACTAAAGGGAGGAAGGTCAATGGAACATGCAGGAAAATTGATTTTTGGCATAGTGTTTTATGTGAAACCATGGGAAATTCCAAGGTATAATAGTTTTATATTATTGTTTTAATTTTGTGTGCTGTTTGCTTCTGCAGACCCAGCCACAGATTGCAGTCCAAGGACAACAGGTAGCGCAGACAGCAGAAGGTCAGACAATTGTCTATCAACCAGTTAATGCTGATGGAACAATTCTTCAACAAGGTAGGAATTCTATGTGATACAACCATTTTCTAAGAAATATTAACTGTTTCAGAATTACATGCATTTTTTAAAATTTCTGGAACATGAGTGGGTAGCTAACAAGTTGTATACAGTCCTTGTCAGCCTCTCTACAGTGTGCCCTTTAACAAGAGCTGTATTTGCTCTTCTGGTAGTTTTCCAGTCTCCTGTTAGAGGGGAGTACTAGAGAGTGCTCCCTTTCCCAGAGCACCAGTGTTTTCATACTGACATCTGGTTTACATACTATTTCCTGATCACCTCAAAGCTACACTGTTCTCTTTCTTCAGTTCCATGTTTTACCAGACATACTTTCTTAGAGGTATGTATATATGCATGTCAGTAGCATCTATACAAGATAAAGATGTTTCTGTTTTAACAGATGTCAACAGATGCTACATTTGCATTTCACTTCAAAGAGCCTAATCTAAAATACTATGGTCTTAATTCTACTCAAAGCTAACATGTAGTATGAATTTTCTGCTAAGTTATGCATAAGATAACAGACATCCCTGTTCCCAATAGCTAATATTCAGAAATGCATTCCCATAGACTGGAAAGCCCTTTAGCACTTCCTGTCTGTAGCATTCTGTTCCATGAGTTTATTTAAGCCTATATAAAGCTTAGTGGACATTATTATTCTTTTGTGGGAATGATACAGTTCAATTAGCAACAAGTGAAAAGTAAGTTATCACTTATACTTTAATACTTATTGCCTTAACAATAACGTATTTAGCAGAAATCTTGAATTTCACGCTAGGTTAGCTTTGTTTAGAAATACATGCTTAACTCGTATGTGGATAGGTCATTTTAGATCTCAGTTTAAAAAATCATATCCAAAACATCCATAAGCATGGCTCAGAATGAGGGAATAACATTTGAAATGGGACTAAATTTGTTCCTTATTTTTTATGCGTTCTGTTCTGTTTAAAGTTACAGTCCCTGTTACAGGCATGATCACCATCCCAGCAGCCAGTTTGGCTGGAGCACAGATTGTTCAGACTGGAGCCAACACCAATACAACTAGCAGTGGACAAGGGACAGTAACAGTGACTCTGCCTGTTGCTGGAAATGTGGTTAACTCTGGTGGAATGGTCATGGTATGTATTGCATTCTATACTCCCCCTTCTATTATTGTGTATTATTGTATACCACAAATGGGCAAACTTTGTGGCCTTCGGGAACATTGCCAATTTTTTTCTCATGGCTTTTGTCCCAGCAAAGTTGCTTAAAATAACTAATTTTCCTGAACCTTGCCAGCAGGACAAACAAACAAAAGATATAGTAGCATCATTGGGCAGGAAAGTACTATATTAGCTCATCTACTGATAAGCTGAACTTCAAATTTTTAACCAAAATATCATTAAAAATGTGCAATCCGCAGATATCACCTATCTACATTTTTCATTGTATTTTGGTTAGAAATTTGAACCTTGGGCTTATCAGTGGCTGAACATATATGTGAATATATATGAGAAATGTAGTACTTTAGAAAAGTAGCATGGTATTTATTTGGGGCTAAATCCATACATGGATAAGCCAAAGTCAATTTTAGGTCCATTTTGGAACCTAAAATACTCAAATTATCCATGAGTATATAGAATAATGAAATTTCCCTCCATTCCAATGATGGGTTGTTTTATTAGTATGTGTGATATATGTGAATGAGTACTTCTGAATGATTGCAAAGCCCCTTCTCAGAAACATTCATGAGCCAGAGCACCAAAAAGATTGCCAGCTTGATTTATAAACTAGATCATTTCTTTTTATCTTGATATCCATTCGCTTTTTTATTTTTAAAGAAATTTGCTTTGATTTTGCATATTTGGAATATAGTTGATGTAATAGAAATATTCAAACTACAGATACTTCTATGTTAATTTCTATGAGATTTGCTGCAGAATTTTGAGAATATTTTTTCAGGAAGTGAGTTGAATTCTAGGAGTTGGTTGTGTTCACTTCCCACTCCTACTTTGTCTTTCCGTGCCTCTTGGTGAGAAACAATTTAATCAGTATATTTCCCTGCTTTGATGTAGATGGTGCCAGGTGCTGGATCAGTGCCAGCTATCCAAAGAATACCTTTGCCTGGGGCTGAGATGTTGGAGGAAGAGCCACTGTACGTAAATGCAAAACAGTATCACCGGATTTTGAAGAGAAGGCAAGCAAGAGCCAAGTTAGAAGCTGAAGGAAAAATACCTAAAGAGAGGCGGGTAAGATTATCAATTGCTATTACAATTCATGAGGCGCAGAAGATAAATAGCTATATAGCATTACGATTGCTCAGTAACATCCATCTGTAAAAGTCTTTTCCCATAATTATAATGAACCATATTGGACTCAAAAGGATACCATATTTACAGTATAAACTGATGCCTTTTTGTTTAATGAATAGAAATAGATTATTGGTTTTCAAAGTCTTTCTTGGCAAGTCACTAGAAGTAGATTGCCTATGTTTTTTTAGTCATAGAAATTGCATACACTTTAATGAGTTAAAATAAATTTTAGTTGAAAATTACTGAAAAAGTTCTTAGCCGATCATAGAAGGACGAGAGAAGATGTGTATAATTGTACATGTGGAATACAATGCATTTTCACAAGCAGTACAATACATTAATACTAATGCCTTGTTTAGACAGTGACACAAATTTGTTTAGGACAATGGTACAAATTTTGGTTATCTCTTGTTAAGAAATACAGACTTGACAGTGCAATAAATGAGCAAGATGTAGAAATGAATCAGTTATCCTGGAGAAAGAAATAAGCAGTCTTTGCAACTTTAATTATATGAGGTAATATGGAGGCTTGGTTATTATACAAGGGATAGTTACATAATACAAAGTGACTCTATGAACAAAGAGATGGGTTCTGAACATTAAAAGAATAAAGCTCAAAATTATTAGCCATGTAGGAGTTTCCATATGTTTTGTATTCCTTTCATTTTTTTTTGTTTCTTCTCTAATCTTTCTAGCCAAACAAATAACTTACCCCAAAATATCATTATTCATTCTTTTTCTCAGATCTTTGAGCAATTCTCTTCTTTATTTTTTCTACTAGAGATGCCTAGGAATTAGAATTAGATAAAATGCCTCTGTAGTTAAATACCAGAAGAAGCTCTATAGACATGCCCACATTTCCTTTTTCACTTTTATGCACTCCAGGTTAACTTACAGGTCATTCCAAATACTGTCTTGTTCTTAGTTAAAGTAATATTTAGCAATTACTCCAGCTAGATTCCAGGCCCAAGATCTCTGAGTATTTACTTATACAGGCAGCCTATATAAATCTTCAGGTCCCAACTTTTCTGTTTGATGATTTGTGTGGGGAATTAGTGCACATTTGTTAGACAGTTGGCAGTTCCCAGATATTTCTTCTTTTATCATCATGAGAGCTGGGAGGAAAAAAGCAGTAGCCATAAGAAATCTGTAACATGTCACCTTTATTTTAAAGCAGAAGTTGTTTGATCAAAAAATATAAACGTTGATATATTTTGATGGTTCTACATTTGATCATTTGATCAAACGTTCATTTGATCCCTAAACATAAGAGTTTTCCTTTATGAAACATCTGAGGTTTCCCTTACTGAAAAGGCCGTGTTGGACAGTAGATGCAAAGACCAAATGGGCTTTCGTTTTTACCTCTTGACATCAATCCAGCCTAATTGTAAAAATGCTAGTTAAAATTACTGGAATAAGTTAATTACAATTGATGCTCTTTAGGTCTGTGAGGCCTCAACACTAGATTTTGGGAAAATTTCTTCTTTCAGACTAGATGATAATGAGCAGTGGTCACCAACCAGAGGTCCACGGATCACTGTTGGTCCGCAAGAAAATTTTGGTGGTCTGCAGAAAAATTATTTGCATTTTTTATATTGCACTAAATACTATTTATCTTTTTTTAAAAAAATCATATTAGTGTCCATGGGATTTAAAATTATGAATTTAGTGGTCTCTGAGGTCTGAAGGGTTGGTGACCCCTGATACTGAGCATTTTTCTCTTCCTTTTTAGCCTTAGCATTATTTCAACCTTTTCAGTACCTGGTCTTTAGTTAAGATGGATGGATGGATGGATGGATGGATGGGTGGATGGATGGATGGATGGATGGATGGATGGATGGATGGATATATATGTGTTCTAGCATTACATAAGGTGTGCTTTCATCTCTACAATTTTGTAATTGTATATACAGAAATATCTCCATGAATCCAGACATCGTCATGCGATGGCAAGGAAACGAGGAGAAGGGGGACGTTTCTTTTCTCCAAAAGAAAAAGATAGTCCCCATATGCAGGTAAATGAAATTTATTTACTTACTTAAGTTGATCTTCATGGGTAGGTGCTTCCAATTTACAAATTTAGCATTAACCAGAAATAAGTTCTGAATTCTTGTTACTTTTTTCTCACTTTACAAAGCATGCAAACTTAGTTCACTTTGACATTTTCATCTAGCTCCAGGGTGGATAAAAATCAATGATTTTTTAAAAATTTTTTTAAAAAATCAGATTTTTTTTATTTAAATCGGATTTTTTTTTATTTTTATCGAATTTATTTTAATAAAAAACTTTTGGGGTAAAAATCTATCGTAAGATAGTTTTCTATTTAAGATACATAAATAATTTAGTTTATTCAGCATGAAATGGAGCTTAGTTATGTAGCATGAGGCTGTATATTCTGCAACACTGGGACTCTCGGTGAGTCAACAGTGGGTCAAAGGAGTAGCAGAGATGACAGTTGCTCTTTAAAAATTATGATTTAAATTGAGTTGATTTAAATCAAGCCTTTTTACTAGTGATTTAAATCATGATTTAAATTGTAATTTAAATCAACTCGATTTAAATCAAATCCACCCTGTCTAGCTCAGTTATTAAAAACTATGGAACACTTAAGTAATACATCTCAGAAAACAGTCATCTCCCTGTGAGTGTGTGGGAGTATGTTTTCTTATATATGTTTAAATTGTTATATAAAAATAAAATTTATATTGTTAGTACATTATGGTATAGGTAGTTTTAAAAACAGTACCGCTGGTATTTATTTAGCAACTGGCTTTGACAGAAATCTTACTTAATTGTGAGATGATCTGCTTTCCTTTCCTTTATAGAACAGCTTAAAAATTATGTTATTCACAAAATAATTCTGCTTATTTATTTATTTTTATTTACATATTTTAAAATTTACATTAGAAATCATAAACACTATTTGTTTCTGAACTTTGAGAGGTTGGATGGTCTTAAAACATAAAAGATAGGCATTAACAAATAGGGTTTTTTCCACATCTGAAACCAATTCTTTATGGTTCAGGAGTTTGGCTGAACCATTTTTGGTAGGTTACAGTCTGGGCAATCCCATAACAAATCGAGAGAGATCTTAAAAAGGGGAGTTGGGCAGTGCATCTCACCCCTGTCTCTCCTTCTCCATCGTATGGTTTACATGCCAGCCTGTTCTCCCATTGATCTTTTCAGAGCCTTCAGTTCCTCCCACCTCCTTAGCTCTCAGCTTCAAGAGTGGCAAATTCGAAAGTGACTTTTCCATCCACATGACATTTTTGCCCCCTGCTCATTGGTTTTAATTGTGTTAAGTAGACTTAGGAGTGTCAGAAGATGTCAGCAGTCACACACTGAAATAACTGTTCAAATCACCATATTTTTCAGACTATAAGACTCTCCGAAGTATAAGACACACCTAGCTTTGGGGGAGGAAAACAAGGGTGGGGGGAATCTGCCTCTGTCTTCCAGCAATTTATCACTTTGCAGCAAACAGCCTGGTCAGCTTTAGCACAAGCAGCTGATTGGCAGTTGGATCAGCTTTCCGGAATACCGCCTATCAGCTGTCCCAGGCTACGGGGATTGCCACTGCTCATCACCGCTGTCATTGCCCATTGCCTCTACCACCTATCACCGCCTCCGCGCATCCTGTTTTCAGCCTCCACACATCCCGTTTTTGACCCATTTCAGGCAACCTATCCCCACCACCTGGAATGGGCCAAAAACGGGGCGCACAAAGGTCAAAAGTGGGGCGTGCAGAGGCGGTTGCAGGCAGTGGCAATCCCTGCAGCCTGGAACAGCTGATAGGCGGTATTCTGGGAGGCCAATCCAACCATCAATCAGCTGTTTGTGCTAAATCAGGTTGTGCTGAAGCTGACCAGGCTGTTTGCTGTTTGCTGCAAGAAGGTAAATTGCTGGGAGGCAGAGGCCGAAGTGTAGGGGCTGGTGGGTGGGCGGAGCTTCGGCAACATTCACTGTATAAGATGGACAGACATTTCCACCCACTTTTTGTGGGGAGAAAAGTGCATCTTATACACCGAAAAATACGATATATCTTATGATCTAGAAAGATTATGGTACTTCTGTTCATACTCATTCATAAGAGAGATTGTAGGTACAGAAGATCCAACTCTAATTACTTTTCATTTCATACTGAAGCAAATTAAATATTGCATTTCCTATTTTGCTTGAAAACAACAACATATTTTTCATGATATGTGAATAGCAAACAAGTAATGCCTTCTTTTTTGACAATTAAGACCTTTAAACGTGTACCCTCATAATAAGCCTTTCTTCAGTCTGATACCGTAGCTTCCTTAGCAAGTTTTCTGCAAAACACTGATATTGCCTACTTTTGCACATTTCATAATTCAGAAGCAAATTAGAATTATCCACTGAAGGATGTTGCCTTGTGTGCAGGAATCTAAAGTACAAGCCTGCCATTCTACAATACTTAATTAGAATCACAAGGCTGCAGCCATGGCAGCTGGCTAAACAAATGTATTGCAGCATAGTGTATATAATATTGTTTATATAAACATCATAGTATACTGAGGGAAAATCTAAGGGGAGCAGAAACTATCCGGGGAGTTGGAGACAGATGCTACCTACATTCTGCCAATTGGTCATCCCTTAAACATGCAATACTGTAACCTACTTTGCTAGATGTTGAAATACCATATTTTTCAGACTATAAGACACTCCAGACTATAAGACACATATTAGCTTTAGAGGAGGAAAACAAGGGAAAAAAATTATATGCCTCTACCACCCATTCGCCGCTGCCCATTTGCCACCAATCACTGCGAATGGGCGGCAGTGATAGGCTCCAGCGGCAGCAATTCCCGCCACCTAGAACAGCTGATCGGCGCCGCACCAAGCCCTCCCCCACTGCAATATTCACTGTATAAGACGCACAGACATTTCCACCCACTTTGGGGGGAGGGGGAAAGTGCGTCTTATATTCCGAAAAATATGGTATATACTATCGGTATAGTAAGCTAACATCTAGCTGTATTAGTTTGAGTACCACATTCCAAGTAGAAACTGTATAATAAATCCTTCTCCAGATAGTCTCCTTGAAGCAAGTTTCTGTCATTCCTGATTTGTACTATAGCAACATAATGTCTACCTTTAAATAACATGTGTTTATGTTTAGATACTATGAAATAGATAATAGAGATTACAAAACCTTTTTTTACATATATACAGGATTCTGGCCAGGCAAGTGAAGAAGCTATGACACAGATGATTAGAGTATCCTAACAACCAACTAAATAACAAAACATCTGGACAAACATCTTGTGTCTCTGCAATTGTTCCCTCTCCTTTCTATCAAATCAACTTCTGAAGGGGAAAATTTGCTACAACCTTGTTCTTTATCAGAACAAATAATATACTCGCAGTGAGTCATTTGTTTTAGCTTTTAAATGCAGTGGATTCAATCAACTGAGGTACTAATGGAGTGTCCATTCACTCTTCTCAGACCGGGGATTGAAAGTCTGGCTCAAGAGGCCTTTAACATTCTTGGCAGGACAAAGGCCCAGCTTGATAGCAATAGCAATAACTGACTTGTTATACGACAGCTATACCGTTTGGAAACTATGGGGTTTGAACCACACAGAAATACTAATGTTTGAAACAGCCAGAGCTGACATGTTTTGTTTTTTCAATGTGATTTTTTAGTCTCACAGATGCCGCTTTTTATTAGGATTATTATTACTTTCTAGCAGCATAACTTTCTATTGTTGAAGCATAATCTCTCATAAAATCTTGACAAGATGCCGAAAGTTGTCCTTGAAATACTGTCCATCATATATCTATCTGGGACAAAATTAATCTCATCTCAGGGAATGGCCATTGATTTTATGGCTAGTAAAGTGTTTTGTAGCAGAATTGTGTTTTTGACAGTTAAAGTTCATTAACTTGCTCCCCTAAAACCTGGCCCTGCAGGTTGTGGAATGTCTCCAGTTATGCAGACTAATCCTTTGCCTGGACCCATTGATTTTCTGTGATCAAAGGATAAGATGCAATACTGACCTGTGAACATCAGACAGTATGTAAGGACCATTCATGTAACCAAATCAAAACTCTCTATATCCTGTCAAAATTCAGACTGCTTTGGATATGAAAATATAAACTCTCCTTTCAAATTTTACATATAATGTACTTTGTAAATCTAACAATTCAAAATCTATTATTTCCTCTTGTGAAGAGCTTTTTCTTCCCCTTGGTCCTGAATGACCAAGTCTTATGTTTTATTCTTACACAAAACTGCAAAACCATAGTCGTTTTTTGCAATCTCACTTGATCATTCAGATTTTGACATCAGATCTGACATTCCTTCCTGCACATACCACTTTGTTTCATTTGTATATCTTCCATTACTTAATTCTGGTAAATGCCAAGACGTCTGCTTTTCAGCCCTTCAGTTGCTCAGCAAATCTGAGAATGGAGGAATACTGGAGTTGGTCTGTTACGAAAAACAGCAGTGAGCTTGACACAAGTACTGCATACAAAAAGTGGTCTGGTAATTGACCAATACATTTTTAAAAGGGGGTCTTGTGATTTTGGAAGAAGTGGTCCCTTACTGGAAACAGTAGACATTGGTCCTCACTTAAATTTTGTTGTAGCTTGGAGAAGTCTGCCTTCACAGAATTCCTTTTTTACTTGAAATAGAAGCAAGTTCAAAAGGGATGAAGAGAGAGTATGTAAATGCAAATTATTGTTATAAAAACAACAACTTATATTTAACAGGCTGGTAAACCTTTGGAATTAGTTTTGACAAATTTCAACTTGAAGTTGGCTGTGGACCGAATTTTAAGCAGTTGCTGGTCACATGAAGTCAGTGCTCTAACTTAAGCTCTTGGCAGCAAAGGGATTTGTTTCATTTGGTATCTGTAAAGTCCTGTTTAAGTCTGTATTATAGCTTGGGTATTTATAAATGTGTTTCCTTCAGTCTTTCTGATCTTTCCTTTATATTTTTAGTATACTGGGTATTTGATTATTGTCTTGTTTTTCAGCTGGCTGCTTCAGCATGTAGCATTTCTCTTCACTGTTTTAAATAACAAATATCTGATTGGTATTTAAGTGATGGTATTAGTGAAGGAACTATTAATGCTTTGTGGGTGGGGAATGGATTTTCCTTTCTACTATTGTTGTATATTGGCCTTCCTACATCTTTTATCTTCCAGATGTGTTTAGGTCCATTGGTCCTATAATTCCCATTGACAATTCCCAAAGGCTATGCTTTCTGGGAATTCTTGGGATTAATCCCAAAATATCTGTAGAACATCAGGTTTGGGAGGTTGCTGTAAATATTAAAAGCACTGATGCATTTTGAAATAATGCTGAATGAGGGGAAGATACTTTATTGTTTGGGTTAGGGATTTTTCTTCCCATAAATTCCTCTTTTCAGATGTCATTTTAATACTGCATATTGGGGTATTAAGAGGATCAAGGTTCTCCTAATTCTAATGTATATTTAAAACATAACAATACATTTGCAACTTAAAACTATCTAGCCATTGCAACCTTTACATTTATTAAAAATAGAAATAAAAATGGTCTTTGTGATTTCTGTATGTAGATGAAGCAGAAACCTATTTAATTTTAGTCTTTAGAAAATTTCTCTAGTTAGGTTTTTCTGTAATGGTGTAAATTACCTGATAGAATCTATTATTCCAATGGCTTAGATTTCATGTGTGTAGGACAAATATATTTCAAACTATTTTTTAATCTTGGGAATCTCAAACTACAAGATAATGCAAAATGTTTTGTTCTCAAGCAAAAATTAAAAGTAAAGTAATACCAAATGCAAACTCTTAATTAGAAATGAAAAGAGAGACCATGACATGCTTAATTGGAAATAGATTTAAGGATAAAGATGTAGTGGGTTTAAGGAACGTGTGAATTCTTCTTTTGAATTAGAAAGCACTGGAATGTTGAGCCTATATAAAATGGCTTGATACTTAGGGAGGGAATAGGTAACCCCCAAGTGATGTTTCTTCCAAAATTTTGCATGTAAAAAAAAAACTTATTTTTCTTTTTTCTTTTTGGGTTGTGAATGGAGCTGGGGCATTGATATTTGTGAAATTGTAATGCAAAGTTTGTATATAGTTCAAAAGTTTATAATTTTTTATTCTGCATTTTGAAGTGTATTTTGTCTTTAATAGATACAACTGTAAGTACTGTGTACACTATTAAACCAATAAAATGTTTATAAAATATGTTGTTCATTGCATTCACATTTTATCTGGAATTACAGGGATACTCAGCAGTTCTGAACAGCTAGAAATATTCTTTAAAAGTTTGAAGTTGTAGAAACATTTTCTCAAAAGCAGGTTATAAAAGCTATGCATTTTCACTGCATAATTACATTAAGTATCCAATAGTTACCCATCTTGCATGATTAAAGAACTGTCTTGCATTTTACTAGAAGGCTGCTGATTCAATCCTTTGTTCCATAAACTTTCTTATACTGGAATGTAAACTACAATTTACTTTGGCTTTAAAAATAGCTTACAATTTCCCCACATTTTGAATTGAATTTATGGAAATTTCCATAAATTAATCTGGAATCATTATTTCCTCCTTCAATTGGGAGCGAGGGAAGACCCCTTGCAGGATAGGGCTGAGGATTTTGTGCAATTCCTGCATGATAAAGTCATTCAGATTCAGGATGGCTTGGACTCCGATTGGGTAGATTCAGATGGGGTGACAGAGGGGGGTCTTGAGAATGTTATCTGGGAGGGGTTTGACCTTGTGACTCCTGAGGACGTGGACAGGATTCTGGGTAGGCTTAGCGCTGCCACATGTTTATTGGACCCATGTCCCTCCTGGTTGGTGCTGCTCTCCTGGGCGGTAACACGAGGCTGGCTTCAGGGGATTATTAACACTTCGTTGAGGGAGGGGTTCCATGCCAGTTCCATGGGGGAGAAAAAATCAGCGCCTTCCCAGCCGTCCAAGTCCAAGTCCCAGCTCGCTGGTCCTGGGCAGGGTCCCCAGATGGAACTAAAGGGGCCCAGGGTTCAGCAGCCCTCTCGGGGAGGGGCGGGTAGAGAAGTCATATAGGGTTAATACCCCAAAGACGCCTCACGCCCAGGGAAAGTAAAGACAAGTAAATTTGTCTTTACTTGTTTGAAAAATGCTTCAATTATGAGGGTATAAGGATTTTATAAACTTTTGCACCCTAGTCTAATGTGTCTCAAAAATCAAGGTAATGCTTTTTAATACTACATACTTTGTAAAGAAAAATGTTAACAGTTGGATTTCCGAATTTTAAAAGATTTGGTTTTGAAGTCAAGGGCTTGCACATGGTTCAGCTTGGCACTCAGTATCTCTAACAAGTTATAGCAATGTCATAATAGCAATAGCACTTAGATTTATATACCATTTCACAGTGCTTTACAACCCTCTCTAAGCAGGTTACAGAGTCAGCATATTGCTCCCGCAATTTTACTGACCTTGGAAGAATGGAAGGCTGAGTCAGCCTGGAGCTGGTGAGACTCGAACTGCTGGTAGCCAGCAGTCAGCAGAAGGAGCCTGTAGTACTGCATTCTAACCACTGCACAACCACAGCTATGATGATGATGATGGTTTTTTTTTTTAATTTGATTTATATGCCGCCCTTCTCCAGAGACTCAGGGCGGCTTACAATGCGCTAAGCAATAGCCTTCATACTTTTGTATATTTATACAAAGTCAGCTTATTGCCCCCACAATCTGGGTCCTCCTTTTACCTACCTTAGAAAGGATGGAAGGCTGAGTCAACCTTGAGCCTTGGCGAGATTCGAACCTGCAGTAATTGCAGGCAGCTGGTCTTAATCAGCAGCTTAATAACAGGGTTCCTTAGACCACTGTTATGGACCAAGACCAAGGCTCTTATGCACATGTTATGATGCAAATGGTGCTTACGTACTTATATCATGACATCTGACACTCATACATAAATTGCATCATGTGCAATGGCTGATGTCATGTTATGTTATTTGTCCCCTTGCCTCCCCAGATGCTGATAATGCCACTCAAACATAGCATTTTTTTCCTGAAGCATGCCATTTAAAAAATATGGCTCCTCTCGAACTTTTACTAAGATTATAGAACATTCACCTCCCAAATAAAATTAAATAAAATTAATGCTATTGACATCAGTTCAAATATAATGGAAAACAGTGTTCTTTTTATCAGCACTATGATAAGATTCAACTGGCAGTTCATGTCAACATCCAGCACCTGCTGTGCTTTGAAGTCATAAAGTGCAGGGCAATTTTATTTTGCCTCATACTTTTGATGCATAATCAGAATGCCTTCACTTTCACTTGCAACTTCTCTATCCATATCATGCTAAATATCAGAGATTTCAGCCCATTCTAAGCCTAGCACCAAACAATTATATTTGGAAGACAAAGCATTTTTGAAAAGGCTTGGCTAGGGAGAAAGGCAAGTGAAAGTGTACAAAGTAGATCAGTAAGACTACCCGCCACAAAGAATTCACCTAAAACCTAACCCTTTACTAGTGTCTCTTACATATAAGGTCCAAAATGCAGTCAGTTATTTCCAAAGTTGAACTAGTCACTATGATTATCAGAGTAATCTGAAGGTAATGTCTGTATATGATGATTCTGATGCAGTATGATTCTGCATCAAGGGAGATGTAAATTAGGCCTGCACAATGTATGGCCCATGGACAGCAAATGTCCTGCACAACAGTCCAGCTTTAAAAAAAAGATCTCAGTAAATGTATCTGTTTATTCACCAGATGCTGCCAGGTGAGGAAAGAAGTGAGTGCGCTTAGAAATGTGGGAGAATATGTTGCTGCATGGGTTGGGAAGGATGTGAAGGAGCTTTGCCAGAGATGGCATGCAGGTTGGGAAGAGCAAATAGGTGAGTAGCATAGGTTGGGAAGGGTGTTGGGGGGGCGCGTGTTAGGTGCTCTGTGGATCATGTTGGCTACATGAAGGAAAAGTAGGTCAAGATGGATGCATGAAGGTCAGTGTGTGTATGTGAGGTATGGTATCAGCCTGGGTGAGAAGTGGTTGAGAAGCTTGCTTGGGAGTGAGCAAGGGGTGCTGTGCAAATCAAAGACAGTGCACTGAGACGGCACAGGTTGCGAAATGCATGTAAGTGCCCAAGAGTTATCACAGGGTTGGGATGGGTGCATGGGATGCTATGGGGTGAAGGAAGGAGCCTTGGTGGCACAGCAGACTAAAGTGCTGTTAAGTAACACCAGCTGCCTGCAATTACTGCAGGTTCGAATCTCACCAGGCTCAAGGTTGACTCAGCCTTCCATCTTTTCGAGGTAGGTAAAATGAGGACCCGGATTGTGGGGGCGATAAGCTGACTTTGTATAAAAAAGAACACCGCTTAGGGGGGGGCGAAAGCCCTACTAAGCAGGTATATACAAAAGTATGAAGGCTATTGCTTAACCCATCGTAAGCCGCCCTGAGTCTCCGGAGAAGGGCGGCATATAAATCGAACCAATAAACAATAATAAACAATAAACTGGGACTGCCAGGATTGCCATTGCTAAGCCCTGTGTTCACATGATGTGCTTTACTACTGCATCACTTAGCAATGGAAATTCTGGTCCCAATTGAAATCATAACTCAAGGACTACTTGTAGCTCCCTTCCTAAGATATATACATAGGATTGTGTAAGCTGCTAGTCACTTCAGCAGCTGTATTAGAAAACAAGATTCTTGTTTTCTAGATGTACAGGGGTAGATGTACAGGGGTATGCAAAAGGTGCTGCAGAAAAAGGAAACATTTGGGGGTCTGTGGATTGAAAAGGCACACAGTGGGGTCCCCAAAACAAGCTGCATGGGTCATGGAAGTTGCATGGGATGTGCAACAGGTGCTGCATGAGTTAGGGAAGGCAAGTGGAGAGGGGCACAAGTCGTGGGAAGGTGTGGGGAGGTTGCATGGACCAGGAAGGGTTCATGGGTGTTCCTTCTTCCCTTCCCCTTTCCCAGCAGGCAGGTAAATGGTTGCTGCTGAGTGAGGAAAGGAGTGAGGGATTGCAAGACTGGCTGGGAAATTGTCAAGGAATGAAAAAAATGAAGATCTAGAGACCGCAGCAACAACCCAGCAGCCTAGCATATAAATAAAAATATTTTACCGCAGATCCCATTCATCTCTTAGAAAACAAACAAAATAGAAACTTCAGAGTACAAGATAAAAACTATTTATTAAATATAATTAATTACTTTGATTTTGATCTATAAAAACCACTCGGCAATTCGATGAGATTATAAAATCTGTAAGAAAACTGGGCAAACTTTTACCTGTGAAAGCCGCACCAAATGATAATTTGTTATAGATGATTACAGTAATTCATTTACCTTCTTTCTCCCAGTGACCTTGAGTGGACTGCCTGGGAAAAGAGGTAACACTGTCCTAAATCAAGTTTACTTCTTTACAAATCAAGTTTTGTTGTTGTTGTTGCAGGCTTCCCATCCCTTTACTAGCAAGGGTACTAACAGCAATGAAATGCCAGCAATCAGGAAATGGTTGCTGGAAGAATCAAGCAAAACATACAGGAAACAATTAACACTTAGATTTGCAAATTTCATGTTGTTTTAATTCTAAGAAGAAAATTATTTCCATTTTTTAAAAGTAAGCAGAGTGAAAGTCAAATGAATCCCATAGCTGACTTTGATAGCGATTAAATATTGCCAAGCAAGTCTTTATCTGGATTCACATAAGCCATGTCATGCCCTATATTGGAGAGATTTCAACCCAGTCTAATTGTTGAAGCACACACAGTGGCTTCATTCACAATACAAGTAGTCCACCACTAATTCAGCAACAGATCAAAATTATGACAACATTGAATGAGGACTTAACGACTGGTGCACAAAGTTTCAACTGTGGCGACATCCCCGCAGTCATAGGATTGCATTCTGGGCATACAGGTGCCCAGCTCACGATTAAAACTTGGCAGCAAGCCACAATCACGAGATCACCATTTGCAACATTTCTTGCCAGCTTCTTACAGTCAAACTCGATGGGGAAGCTGGCAATGAAGGTCGCAATGTGCTCCTGTAAAACACTCCCCCACAGCCTTATCTTCTGAGGAAACCCACTACAGAGTAAGAGATCTCATACTCTGTAGCATTCTCTCACCTGTTGTGGTCCAAGTGAGAGGGATCTAGGAGTCAATCATTTAAGTATGAGCCAAATCAGGGGTGAAATGCTCCCGGATCGCCCGAAAATCCCTGCCCCCCCCCTTTGCCCAGCTGAGCCGCGCAATCATCAGAGGCTTTTTTTTATTTTTAAAAGCATTTTTTCTACAACCTCTGGCTGAAAAAATGCTTTTAAAATTTAAAAAAAAAGCCTCTTTATGATTGCGCGGCTCAGCTGGGATTGTCAGAGGCTTTAAAAAAAGCCGAAGAGGTTGTAGAAAAAATGGTTTTAAAAGTAAAAAAAAAAAAGTTGGCCACGCCCACTCAGTCATATTACCCCACTACCACCAAGCCACGCCCACAGAACCAGTAGTAACAAATTTTACATTTCACCACTGAGCCAGATGTATGCTAGTTGCCAATAAAGCCAGTGCAGTCCTAGGTTGCATCAACAGAGGGGTAGTACCAAAATCACATTAGATGTTAGTATCACTAATGAAGAGTAGAACTAGGGGTGGCACGATAGCGGTCTTCCAATATTTGAGGAGCTGTCACAGAGAAGAAGGGGTCAACCTATTTTGCAAAGCTCCTGAAGGCAAGGCAAGAATTAATGGATAAAAGCCAATGGTAAAATCCAATTTTTTTTACTATCGGTTCTGTGGGCGTGGCTTGGTGGGCGTGATGTGGCTTGATGGGAGTGGCAGGGGAAGGATACTGCAAAATCTCCATTCCCACCCCACTCCTGGGGGAAGGATACTGCAAAATCTCCATTCCCACCCCACTCTGGGGCCAGCCAGAGCAGTGGTGGGTTGCCCCCAGTTTTCACCGGTTCTATAGAATCAGTAATAAAACCGGCGGGAGGCCCTGCCCACCAATGTCATCAAAATGCTTCTGCGCATGTGCAGAAGAGCGCACACACGGCTCCGTTGCAAACCAGTAGTAAAGGTAAGTAGAACCCATCCCTGAGCCAGAGGTGGTATTTGCCGGTTCTCCGAACTACTCAAAATTTCCACTACCGGTTCTCCAGAACCTGTCAGAACTTGCTGGATTTCACCCCTGATAAAAGCTTAACAAAGAGAGATCCAACCTAGCAATAAGGAAAATTTCCCTGTCAGTTAGAACAATTAATCACTGGCTTGTTCAAGAAATTGTGGGTGCTCCATGAATGGAAGTTTTAAAGAAGAGACTAGACAGCTATTTGTCCAGAATGCTATAGGTTTCCTGCTTGAGCAGGGAGTTGAACTAGAAGACCTCCAAGGTGCCTTCCAACTCTGTTATTCTGAAAGTATTCTGTAACAATGATCATTGCAAGTATCTGAGGCTTTTTGTTGTTTTTTTCCAGATGAAAAACTGCTTAATTTCCCATGAGGTGTTTTTATATGGGTAGGAGAATAACTTTGAGAACACCTAAGAAATTCTACAGCCACATGACTGAACTGATTTGTAGATTCAGTTTTTAAACTTTGTTTTGCACAAATACTTCTATTACGTTTGACAGCAGACGTCCACTGGATTAGTTCTTTGCATTTCATTTACAGGATGCACAATTCCCCAAGGCCTTTTTTGTTTTCTGTCTTCATATAGACATCAAATGTTTTCCTGCTGATTAACACAAGCTCTTGATGGCCACTATGGCATGGCAAAATTGGCAAATGTCTACAGTGAGATTTCTGGTAAAATGTTTGAGTCCTCTCCTTTCTGCTCTTCATTGTTCAATTTACTGGCTGTGTACTGTTTTATTTCTCCAGGAACTTTTAGGAATCTGGAATTAAGTATTAAAAAAAATAATCAACTTTTTTTTCCTGATAATCCAATACCCTCCCGACTCCTTTCAGTAATACACAAAGATATACACATACAAAAACACATAATCCAGGGACGAAAAGGGATTGCTCTGTATCTATTAAAATATTTATGTTAATGCAGGAAGTCAAACAGTGTTGCACTGGATATGCTAATATCCCTGCTTTCTTATATGAAAAGATACTTTAAAATGAAAAATGTGCTTCTAGTCCTATTTGCATAGAATTTCAAAACACATTAGTCAAGTATTAAAATGCAATTGTAATTCATTTTGTTGACAAGGGATTATGGTCCAGAATTTCCAAGATTCAAAGGATAAAGTTGTAATGAAGGAGGAAAAAACATCCTCCCAAAAATACATAAAAGTTATTGCGCTTAAACCTGTCAATCAAGATTATTTAATTATGAAATTTATATAGCCACTCATCTCGCCTGGTATTCCTAGGTGGCTCATGGCAACCAGGAAAAATATCAACATAAAAACATATCACACCTTTCCTATCAAGGTAATAGATATTGTTAATCCTCTGACTCAACCCCTTGGGCAAAAATCAGCAAAGTCTGAAAAACATAAACTCTGAGCAACCAAGCAGGGACAGGAAGGTTCTCTCCATCAGACCAGCTTTAGAAATAAGATGGGGAAATCCCATTTTTTTTCCTTTGTTCTTTTGCTTTACATTCCCAGAGGAGAGGCATCTATTCAGACTGGCTTCTTATCAGGAAAGGAAAAGCAGAGAAAGAAAATAGCCATCCTTTGAAATGTGGAATTAGGTACAGTTTAGAATCCTTTCTAACATTTAATTTATGGGCTGATTTGTGCTGTGTTTTTGTTGCACTGTATTTTGGATGTGTGGCTGTTCCTGAAAGATTCCTGTTGAGTTAAAGCTTCCAGGAGTTATCCTTTCTTTTTACTCTTTTGCCACTGTTTTCAATTCTAAATAAGTTTCATAAGCTTAATCAACATAATAAAATATGTGTATCATCTTCTCATTTCTGGTATCAATAGGGTCATTCAAACAGGGTGTGAAATAGGGTGTGAAACTTGGCCTTTCACACATCTCAGTCATTTGATGACCAAACCATTTGAGAGAAAATTTTTTACTCTGTTTCTCTTAAGTAAAGTTGCAGCGAGCACCCACTGAACAAGGACTGTGGGAGGGGAAATGCGCGGGAGAGGCTCAGGGATGCATCTTGACCTTACCTGAATAATAATTTCTGTCCAGTTTCCTTTTTGATGATGTTGAGTTTATAATAATGCCTCAATGCTCTTGACATCTTCTCATATGTCATATTCCTTCGGTTCTGAAAATAGTTTAAAATTGTGATTATAACATCAGTTTGCTTTCTCTTGCCTAATTACTAATTTGAATTAGAAAAGAGTTGTCAGGAAACCTGCATGCATAACCTCTTTCAGTGGAGATAGGATGGGAATTATGTAACCAAACATAAATACCTTGTTTTACATACAGTTAAAGTACTCGCTTTATGAATTAATTTAGAATTATAAGAATGTAAAAGGGAAACACTCTGATGCAATGATAAGATAGCAAACTAAGACCTAGGAAACCCACATTTAAGTCCCCATTCAATCTCTAGCAGACTCTGGCCAGTCGTAATATTTCAGCTCAACTTATTATGCCAAATTGTTCTGATGATTAAATGAGGGATGCCAGTGCATGCTACCTTGAATTCTTACAGGAAAGTCAAGGCAGACATACTGTATAATAAATACATGCAAGTACTCCCTTTTTCCCAGACTGTATCAAATCATCTTCTGTGCTCCCCTTTAATCTGTCATAATAGCTAGGATATTCCCAGCTCTACTTTTAACAAAACTGACCAACGTTATGACAAATGTACATTTACCCACACCTTGGGAATATAACTTTGTTAAATTATCTCCAAAGAACATTGGGGGACTATAGAAGATGTACAAATTGGTGCCCTCCAGGTAGGCTGAGAGTACTAGTCCTAATCAGTGCATCTGAACAGAAATTTATCTCTACTTATGGAGTTTAGAAGGATCGCTTTATTTAGTACCTTTTGATTACCCCAGAGTCCAGCAAGGCCTTTGGGATCTACAACCCGAAAGATCTTGGTTTCTTTGTCTTCCCACTTGATAACTGATTCATACTGGCTATCAGAGAGGAGCCGGTAGATGTAATCCAAAAGTAACCTACAGTCTGAGAATTAGTTACATTGAGAGAAATGTTGTTCAAGACAGAATAACATGGATTAGTTCAGTGGTGAAATGTAAAATTTGCTACTACCGGTTCTGTGGGCGTGGCTTGGTGGTGGGGAGGTAATGTGACTGAGTGGGCGTGGCCAAGGTTTTTTTTTATACTTTTAAAATCATTTTTTCTACAACCTCTTCGGCTGAAGAGGTTGTAAAACAAATGCTTTTAAAAGCCTCCGACAATCCCAGTTGAGTTACTTGATCGTGAAGTTTTTTTTTTCTTTTAAAAGCCTCTGACAATCCCAGCTGAGCCACGCGATCATCAGAGGCTTTTTTTTTTTTACTTTTAAAAGCATTTTTTTGGCCGAAGAGGTTGTAGAAAAAATGCTTTAAATTTTTTTTTTTAAAAAAAGCCTTTAATGATCGTGCGCCTCACCTGGGCATGGGGGAGGTAAGGATTTTTGCTACCGGTTCTCCGAACCACCCGCTGCCATTGCTACCAGATCGGATGATCCGGTCCAAACCGGGAGCATTTCACCCCTGGATTAGTTCCTGCTACACTGCATCACATTTAAAGACATGCTTCCAAATCTGTGCTGTTAACCAGTGGGAGGAGTGGAGCAAATGCCCATGATGTATAAGAACAGGTAAGCATTCCTGTCGACTACATAGCAAAAGAATAACATCTTGGTAACCTTATCCTTACCTGCTATTTTTCCACTGACCAGAGCAGCTGATTTTACAGGAAAAGAGCAAATGTTTCCACCATGGCTGATCTCTGGGTTGCTATAAGCAAGAGGGGTCATCCCAGGAGTACAGAGTGTCTTGGTGGAAGACTGAGATGAGTCCGAGTAACCTGCATGACTAGTGAAGATTGTTGGATATTCTGAAGGCAATGCAGGGACCTTAGCTGGGAAATTTTCTAACTGGCACTTGGTACCTGTGAGAAGAGACCAGATTCAAAACAGAGCTTTTGACATTTTCTAAGCCAGCCCTCTTCAATCTGGAGCTCACAACGATCTGAAGAAATACCAGGTTGGGAAAGGCAGATCTATGCTAATCAACTGGAAATCGATGTAACAGAAGGTACTGCGATTAGATACATTAGCTGTGGTTGTTTTGCTGTGAACACAATCACCTTTGAAGTCTATTTGATCATATATTTCTTTTATATAAAGAAAACTCTTATCAGGTTTGTCCCAGGCTATCTGTGCCTAGACCAATTCTTGAATGTTTTGTAAATGTTTATGATAGTGATCCATACAAATTCATTATTTATTTACCTAAACTTTACTGTAGGCAGACAGGCAGCAGAGAGAAAGATACATTCAGCTGACCGAGTCAGAATACTGGTTTGCTTAAGCTAATGCCATCCTAACTGATGTATCCATGGAAAAGACATACAGTATAGCAGGAGCCACTTCCTGTGGCTTTGCTATAAAGATCACATAAGTTTACTTTCATCTTAACTCCCCAACTGTTTTTTTTTCCTTTTGAGTCATATCTTTAAATTAGAAAGTTATGTGAAGGAATGCTTTGCCTACAGAACTGTAGTTGACCTCCCATAAGCTGCTCTAGTAATGTTGGAAAAGACTCCTGAGAATACCTCAGATAAAGAATTCAAACAAATAGCTCAATGAATACATCAATCCAGAGTTCCCACCTGAGGCACAACCGGGCTCAGATAATATTTCGAATATATTATGCAAAGTGAAATTTCTAATGTTGGAAAAGATAGAAGAAAATAAATGAAGAATTGACCAGAAGCAAGTTGGATTGACTCAATTTCAGCAGTGATGGGTATACTAAGTTTGGGCCAGTTTGGGGACAAAACCTCCTGGAGACAATCTATGAAGTCACTAAGGGTCACCACAGACCTGATGGCACATTATCAATTGAACCTGTTCTGTCAGTATGGTAACCAATAAGCTGTTGAGCATTAACATTGCAAGATCTCAGGAAGAGGTAATTCCTAATTTAGGAAATGAGGTGCTGAAGACTGTATATGGAACCATATGGAGCAGGGGTCTCCAACCTTGGCAACTTTAAGACTTGTGGACTTCAACTCCCAGAGTTGAATTCTGGGAGTTGAAGTCCACAAGTCTTAAAGTTGCCAAGGTTGGGGACCCCTGCTCCGGAGGATCAGTATGGATTTTGCCTGTGTATTTTCCTGTATAGATACTGGCCCATAATGTGAGCCAAAGATTATCTAGCATGATGCATATAACCACTGTTGCACAGCACTCACCTTCTGCAGCGCTCTGGGTCAGGTTATGGTCTACATCCCAAAAGGAGATGTTAAAGAGAGGGCTACACACAAGGGCTCTTCTCTGGGTCTTTATGTATTGGAGTAATTCATATAATACATCTCCTGTGAGAAAAGAAACATAAATACCAATCCCACTCCATTTGGTATTTGTATCAATACCAACTGGTGACAAAAATGATGCAATTTTTGAGTACCTCCACCCTCTCCATTTGCTGTTTATTTCAAAAGGACTATTTCAACTATTTCAACTTGGGGAATTTCTAATGTTTGCAAACCAGAAATATAGTTTTGTTCCACATGTTTGTGGGAATCTGAAATTTTCTGTTAAAACTTGCAATGCATTCAGCACATTCAGTTTGAATTAATTTACCTCCTGCCCCAAGGAAGCACAATTTGAAAAAAATGTATTAATATAAACATGATCAACCACAGCCACTAGAGTAACCTGGTTCTTTCCATCAGACATCTATCATATTGTAAAGCTGCCCGATCCATGGGCTTTAGTTCAACCAATAATTTCTTGTCAATAAAACAAAATTTGGAAGGAAAATCTATTTCAAAGGACATTAGAGACTTCATGCATCTCATAGTCTTTGAGTTATTCCTCATTTATACTTGCTACATGGGATAATTCCACAATGCAAACACACAAAGCCTTGACCGAGGAGAGCAACACCTCTAACCTGAATTAGGAGCCCGAAATTTGAAATCTTCCTTGGTGAGAATACAAAGGGCTTTTCCATTCATTTCAAAATTACTATCATCAGATTTCCTGAGTGAATATTCTTTTTCAGCCCATCTTAGCCAGTGAATCACATCATCTTTGCTCCATAGAAAGGGTTGGATTCCTGAAAACAAATCAGGTTACATGTAAATTAACATTTCTACCCAATCAATGTTTTGCCCTTCTTTTGGAAGAAGCATAAAATGCCTCAAAAAGCAAGTAAAGGACATCTCAGCAATTATTATTAGAACTCATTCACTCCAACTAATAACACTCTCCATAGATTTTAAACATAGGTCAATAAATTTTCAAAAGGAGATTTTTTTAAAAAAAGAATATTCTCTGTGATAGGAAGCAACCTTACGCCAGGTCCAACTAACTGATCATCTAATCCTTGTTTCCTCAACCAGATGTCTACAAGATGTATCAGCCTAGAATCCCACTGACTGCAGGCAATTTTTTGCCTGATCTGATAGACTCCAACTCAAGATGTGCTATATATAGTTATGTGACTATAAGTACAGCTGGGGAATACTGGAGTTGCAGTCCAAAGACAACTAATTTGTATAGTGTTGTCCTCACATTAGGGGCAGGTAACACTTTCTAAACCAAGATTGCTTAACCACAAACGGTATAGTGGAACTGCACTCCAAAAAGTAGAAGAACCAAGCTAAAATTTAAATTAGATTTAATTTTTAAATGTAATCAAAATAAAAATAAACTCATTTCATACAGATAATAAGAAAATATATATGCCATCCTTCTGTTTAGTGTCACATTAAAATTACAACTCGGTGGCTCAGCTTGGAGAAGCTTGCAGAGCACATATCCAAAGCTTTAAGGAACCACCTTTGAAAAGCTGCCTTAAATAATACCTCTTCTACTCACTGAGTCGGCCTGGCAATGTCCAGATTTGTCCATCATACAGCGATTTTACTGATGTCTTCGAAGTGGAATTCAATGGTAAGGGCAAAGCTGATGTGGCCACAGGAGTCAAAGAGCCAGCTGCCACTTCAACCTTAAGGGAGGAGAAAGACACTGAAGCTATACAATAACTCAGATGTATTTCCCCAGTGCCTCTTCTGTTATTCTGCACTGCCTAGAAGCCGGATAAGTAAGAATCTATGAAGGAAAATGTTTGTAATGTAACTAGAACCAATATGCTTCATCAGAAAGAACCAGGTGAAAAATTGTTCCTACTCTTTATGGGAAAACTTGGATCAACAATTGTCTCCAAAGCTAAACTATACCCCAGAATTGCTATGTGGATAAAATGGATCAAATACACAGAGAAAGGATGAGATAAAAGCTGTAGACATATAAAAGGGTTATTAAAAACATTAAGTAATTAAGAAAAAATTGCTGGGCATTCCTAGAACCATTCTGTTGAGAGAGATCTGCTGAACAAATTGGCTGGTGGAAAAGACTACTGTACGCTTTTGGAAGAACAGAGCAGATTGGCAAATGTGTTTTGAATCCAAGAAGTCCAGAAAAGAGACACTTTTCTCTCCTCCCTCAGACATAAGGAAGTCCAGAGGGGAAAGTACAGAAACCAGCAGCAGAAGACTGAGAAACGGATATAAAAAGCTTTGTTTGAAATTGTCTACATTAAAGTGTTTATGTGTATCTTCTTAAACAAAGCCCATGATATATATTACACATCACTGTAAACTGAGAACTCTGTAAATTGAAATCTCTGTGTATGTGTGTAGAAATTAGGAGCTGAGATTAAGCATATGAAGTGAGCACTCAGGTAACCTAAACTGGAGTTGATTAGTGTTTGCAAGGGTGATCACTGCTAAATCCCAGGATTGTTGAGTCTGGGAAATTAAACACAAACACACACCTACCTAGCAGAGGCATGTGAAGGTGTGTGTGTGGGGGGGGGGAAGGCAAGATGGCTAAAATGGTGAGATGGAAGCGCCACTGATTTTTATGTGTGTCACCATTAAAACCACCATCTTAATTTATTTGGCCACATTCTGGAAGACACTCCTGAAATCCGGAAAGAAAGCAGCTGCAGATTGTTAAAACTCACAAATCAACAAATACCTAAATTTAGAAATTGTACCTAAGAGTTCACCAAATATTTGATGAAGTAAACCCTTAATTCATGAATGTATATTCCATAATAAACAAATTATGTTTATTCTTCATCGTATCACAAGAACCATTGCTGATTTTGCAGCTGCAATTCTTTTACCATTGCATGCATGTGTTACGAAGATTGACTTTTAAAAGTTTCAGATTCATTCTTAAATACCAGGCGATGAAGAAAATGAAAGTGAAAGATGCCTACATGCTTTCATTTCAGTTTTGTTCTGGTAGCTTGTTAAAAAAATTATTTTTAGTACTGTACTTTAATTATAATGGTATAGCGTATGGGGTGTCATTTTTACTGGTTTGATATTTTATATATCTATATTTATACATGTACCCATTTTTTATTTGACTGTAAATTGTTCCGTCCTGCCAAGCAATATATAAATTCATGCAACCTGCCTGTAAATAAGTAAAGGATTTCCAAAGATCTTTCTTTCAAAAGAAAGAGTAGCATACCATGTCAGTGTACACAACAATAATGCATGGTTTAAACAAATGTTCCCACAGATGGTGTTCAGTTGTCGTCATTCTCTGATTGTGGAGAAATGTCTTTTGACTTACAAAAGATAAGGCTTCTACAGCTTTTCATACAGGAATGCATAACTCACATGGTCTTCTAAGATCAGCGTTTTTCAGACATGGTAACTTTAAGATCTGCAGAGGTTCAACCTCAATTGGCTGGCTGGGGAATTCTGGGAGTTGAAGTCCACACATCTTAAAGTTGCCAAATCTGAAAACTGCTGATCTAAAGCAAAGGGCTAATTGGGAAAAGAAAGGGAGGGAGTAAGGTCACCCTTATCTGAATTAAATTTTCCCAATCAGGCACTATCATTTGTGTCAAGGTGCAGTACCCATAATTCCCAACAATGGCATGCTATGAGTCCCATGGGTTAAGGAATGCTGTCTTGCAGGGATTAAGAGACTTGCCTTCTGCCATAACTACTCCTCTTGGGATCATTCTTCTCTCAGAGCTGAGGATGACCTTGACCTAGCCTTGAAGACTTATTTGAGATGGGCAGCTATAGAAATTGATTGGTTGAATGAATACATGAATGAAAACATGCCCTGAAGCAAGGCTTCGTTCTTTTCATGTATTCAAATTATGTTTATACTTTTATCTGTTATCTTATATATGCTTGACAAATAAATAAAAAAATAAAAATAAAAATAAATAAATGCTGAACGGGAATCACTGCAGCACAACCGAAGACCCCAGGTTGAGGAAGGCTGGTTGAAAATGTAGGCTTAAAATAGCTCCCTTCCACTTTCTACCCCAGAGTTTAAGATAGAGGGAAGGATACAGCCCCGAATAAAAAAAGAAGAGTGTTTAAGCTTTGCTTGCATGAATCTAGCCTTAGAATAAGGGAGCCACTATTTCCCCATTTGAAACAGCTTCATTAACTCACACACCCGGATTAATTTTGTCCAACAAAAAACATTGTTTCTCAAAGAAAAGTTAGTTGCTTAACGTCTCCCTTTTCTTGTGAAAAGTCTGGGGAATTCCGGACTTTGTCCATTTTGAAACGATTTTCTTTTGAACCTCCAAGGGGAATGCTTTCCGTGGATTCAGCCTAGTCCAGAGAAACCCCCCCCCAACGCTTTCTGAAACGAGGGAAGCACCCGTGCAGAGACGGTGCCCTCCAAACCGCCTCAATGTATGCATCCCGTGTTTCTAGCCCGTATGAAGGAGAGAGATGTGGGGCTCTTGGAAACGCCGCCTGGGTCAGACCTTAGCATGAATGCATTGGGCGAGAGGACGTGAAAGAAGGCTCGGACGGAGCCTACGGGGATCTAGGGCGCTGGGGCGGGGCAGGGAGAGCAAGGGGAAGATCGAAAGGTCAGAGAGCACCTGCTGCTCTCCCCAAGCCCTTACCTGCATTACAAGGGGAGTCGAGGGGAGAGGGAGAAACCGCGGGCCGGGATCGTCCGGATGCGCGCACAATCCCAGCTTTCCTTCAGCCCAGGCGGTGCTCGCTGTCCTTCCGGAAAACGAAAACGAAAGGCGGCGCTCGGAAAGGTGCTGGAGGTTGGCCCGTGTCACAGCCGCCGTCCGCGCCCGGAGCGACCTCCGAGTTTCTTTTCTTGCCTCACAGCTTCCGCCCCTCAGCGAACCGCCTGCGGGACTGGCGGCGCTTCCAAAGACCCGCGCTGCACTCTCACGACGCCTCCCCCCCCCCCCCAACCGTAAACTCTTCAGACGGGGTTGGGTTGACCTCGTGTTGCCCGCTCGATGGATCGGGGTTGCGATTTCGCACCCCAAAACTAGGGCCGTTGCCCCGAGGCAGGAAAGCACAAGCGAAACCTTGCGGGGAGAAACCCGCCCCTCCCCCCTTCCAAACGCTGGCTTATGGTGCGGAGTCAAACCAAGTTGAGAAGGCGTGCTAATATTTGTTTTTATTTAATTCCAAGGAAGGTTTGCCATATCAATTGGTGCCTCCGAACAAACCGCGGGTGCATGTGCACTTTACCTTCAGAGTCATAAATAAATAAATAAATAAATAAATAATCCATTTAAATAACTTGTATGCAAATCGTGCCTCACGGTATTCCTGGGAAATGTGTTTTTTTTTTAAATTTGAGGGCGGCTTACAATGCGTTAAGCAATAGCCTTCATACTTTTTGTATATTTATACAAAGTCAGCTTATTGCCCCCACAGTCTGGGTCCTCATTTTACCTACCTTAGAAAGGATGGAAGGCTGAGTCAACCTTGAGCCTGATGAGATTTGAATTTACAGTAATCGCAGACAGCTTGATGTTAATAACAGGCTATTAGTCTGCTGCCCCACCAGCAGACTATAAATAGAGTGGGGGGGGATTGTGTTTTACTTCTCCCTGGAAGTTATGCAAAGAAAACTCTGTGCTAGCCAACCAAGTCAGAGTCCTCTTCAGTCTAGGGCAGGCCTGCACAGCTTTTTTGGCTGAGGGGGGGTGCCAAGCCCTTTTCACTTTTTAAAAAGGTGAGGCTAGGACAAAAGTGGTGAAGCCGGGACAAAACTAAATCTAGTTAAACTCGCTATAATTAATCTTCAAGTTTCCAAAGTGTTCTTCTGACCCATTTAAAATGTGAAATGGCTGACAACTTTTGGGGACCACCTGGCACCTCAGGTGGTACTTGTCAGGGGGCAATTCTCCTTCTGATACATTACGGCAATCGTGCTGATACACAAGCATAGAATCCTTGAATTACTTTTGATCTATGCTACTACCGGTAATAGAAATTATCCTGATAGTTAAATGTAATCAGTTTTGAACAACCAATTTGCTGCTTCTTGCTGGAAACTGTCTCAAAGCCTTACAGATTTATTACAGATTCATGTAATAAATAAGCCACCAATGCACTACTTGAATGAAAGGGTAAGGTTCCAGGAACTTTGCTGCCAAAATCTCATTATCAACCTGATCAGCCTAGATTAGTCAATACCGTTTAGTTTTCTGGGCATCAGTGAATGTAGGAAATCAAGTGACTGCCTACCTACTACCAGTTTACAATACATTGAGAAGACACCATTATTGAATTGTAAGATTACCAGATCTAGAAAACTAAAATCTGAATGATCTCTAGATGCAGCAAAGATTAACATTGTCTGGATATCTTTCATATTTTTTCTGCCTTCTAGCAGGTGTCCAGATTCTTGTAGCCCAGGTCTGGCACCTTCATAAAAGTTAATTGTACTGAGATGAATGTGTTCACACTTGTGATGGCCTTTGGCAGAGCTGGTATGTGATGTTGCATCTATCCTTATGCTCCTTCATTTCTTAATGGCTTTTGATGCCATCAATCACAATATCCTTCTGGACCAGCAGTAGGGACTAAGGGTGGAGGATACCATATTAACAGGGGTTCTCCTCCTTCTTCTGTGGCCTGTTTCAATTGGTGCCAGTGTTGGGAAAATGGTCAAATCCACATGCAATTTTTGTGGCACAATGTAGGGGCTTGACTCTTTCCCCCTCCTGTTCTACATCTACATGAAACCAGTGCTTGAGTTCATACATTGATTTGGGGTTTGGGATCATTAGTATACTATTCAATTGTGCATCTTGATCCTGGACCATCCTTGACTTGCTGTCAATGTTCTGTTCCAGTGTCTAGAGAGGCTGTGAAGATTTGATCCTGGGAAGCTTCCATCTCTATAGTCTTGGATAAGGCAGCATTATCCTTTGAGATTGGGCAATGTGGGAGTTGCTTTGGATTCAAACTCCTGCTTGAGGAGGAGAAAACAGCTGTTTCCATGAGAGTCTTCACCTAGACCCATCTAATGTGCTTGTTGTGCCTGTTCCTGATTTGGAAGACCCTCCAGATTATTATTCATGCCCTAACCACCTCATGAATGGACTACAGTATTGTGTTGTGCTCTATATAGATGTGCCTTTGAAAGCCATGATGAAGCTACAGGTGGTCTAGAATGAGACAGCATAGTAGTAATTAGTAGTAATGCCACACCTCCCGGTGTGTGGGTGGGTGTGTTTCCATTGTTTTCTATCATCAAAATATTTTGGATTTACATAATTGCTTTTGAGTTTGTTCTGTCAATATATACCTCAGACTTTTTTGATGAGATATTTGGATGAAATCTTTTGTTTCAAGCTCAGAGTAGCAATTAGCATTCCATATTTGAAATTTTTAAACAAACAAACAAACAAACAAACTGGGAGCTGGCTGACAGCAAATCAGCCTCACCACCTTCTTTATTTCCAGTAGATTCTACATGCAACCTGGTTCCCAGAAACAGAAAATAAATATTGTAGGTGACTAAAACTTTCTTTGGAAAATAAAAATAGATTGAGCTAGTAGAGAACACCTTGGGAGGAAGAATGGGTAGCAGGAAGTAATTTCACTAGTTTGTGACCAGCCATTGGTGCTCATGCTTATTGCTGGAAATTACTGAGGGGAATTTCCAGTTTAGTTTGTATCCAGCACATTCTCAGTCATTCTCTCTATCCAGATCAGAACAAGCACAGAAGCCACTCAGTTTGGCTAGCAAAATATCTTGCCTGATCTTTATTTATTAAACACCCAGCAAATGTCAAACAGAGTTAACTGGCAAAACCAGGATAAAAAGCAAGAAAAATAGACAGCAGCAACAACAAACAACAGGCAACAATTTACATTATCTATGTACAGTATCTATATTTATCAAAAGGAACAGGATTTTTCAGCACCACTGAAAATAATGCTGTTAGCATGAAGAATCTCAAAGGGAACAGCCTTTGCTTATTCCAGCTTTAATCTTTGTATGTACATAACAGTAGCAGAATAAAGATGGTAAATAGGAAAGTATTCTGAACCATGAAAGAAACAATCTGATGAAAGGAGATGATGTGTCCAACATTTAAGACATTTTCTCAACAAGGGTCCCTTGACAGTGAGAAGGGCAGCATATAAATTCAATAAACAAAATAAAAAATAAAATAAATATCAAATGTACCCATTAACCCCAAAAATGTCAAGGGCGGGGGGGGGGAGAGAGAAATATTTAGTGATGTTCACAGGGATATAGTATGTCAACATTTACAAGATGGCAGGCATGGTACAATGAGTTGTACGTGCTTTTGCAGTTTCAAAGACCTTCTGGTCTCTTTCTTATTTTCTTTACTTGCTGTTCACCTTTAAAGCTTGAGATCTTTGCATTAAATACCTTTGTGTTTCCTAAGAATGCCAGATATAGACCACCCTCCATCAAGCTCTTAGACTTAGACCTTACCTCCAAAGAGGAGGGGTGTATTTCTTTTTTACACAGTGCATATTCCATGAGGTGTTTTCAGGTTTATGAATCACTAGGAGGAAGGTACTATGTGACTGGTCTCCTCCTACCGAGGACACATCAGATATAGTTAGGTTTTTTTCCCCCCAGGTTATTCTATGGGGCTCAAACTCTAGGCTCTGATGAATACCCAATACATGCAGACCTCAACTTACAAACTGGGATGAAACTGGGATCTGAAAACACTACACAGTCTTCTCTCAGGCTTTTTAATGTGTTTATGGTAATAGCTAGATGCATTAATAGAGGGATAGAATCATGTGAAATTCTACTACCACTTTACAAGCCTTATTGAGACCACACTTGGAATACTGCATCCAGTTCTAGTCACCAAATGTATAAAAGTCTCTGGAAAGAGTGCAGAGAAAAGCAACAAGAATGATCAGGGGGCTGGAGGCTAAAACATATGAAGAACTGTTACAGGAATTGGGCATGTCTAGTCTAATGAAAAGAACTAGGTGTGACATGAGAGCAATGTTCCAATATCTAAGGGGCTCCTACAAAGACGAGGGGTTTAAACTATTTTCCAAAGCACCAAAAGGCAAGACAAGAAACAATGGATGGAAACTAATCAAGGAGAGAAGCAACCTAGAAGTAAGGAGAAATTTCCTAATAGTGAGAGGAATCAACCAATGGAAGTTGTGGGTGCACCATCACTGGAGGCTTTCCAATAGAAACTGGACAACCATTTGCCTGGAATGGGATTGGGTCTCCTGCTTGAGCAGTGAGTTGGATTAGAAGACCTCCAAGGTTACCTCCAACTATTATTGTATGTTCTATGCTTTAATGTTGTTGCTATTTTTTGTTATTTAATTCCCTTATTTTTGTTCTTAGGTTTTGCTTTTATCATTTTAGAAATATTTTAGATAAAAAGACAAGTCAATCAATTGGCACTTTCATATTTCCTTCCTTAGTAGATAGCCACATTGGTTTAAGAATAGTTTATTAATAAACCACAAATAGTTGGATTCATACAATATTCAACAAACTTCAGTTTACAGACCATTATAGGTGGATTGCCTTGACATAAAACCAAACAAATCACTTACGGTAGCTTATTGTATGATGATGTGTTTGGTATCATATAGATACATTTTAATGAAATTTTACTTTTCATTAAATTATTAAACTTTTATGATGTGGACATTAAGATAGTAATGACTGACATGGAATATATTAGAACAGCTTAAATGTGGAAAGAAGTATGTGCAAGAGACTCAGTGAAGTTTATCAACCGTACATAGATTTTAGAGAAGCTATCAACAAGAAACTGGGTAGGGAGCAATTATCCAAGGCCAGGAAAGGATGCAGCTGCCCTTGTAAGAAGCTCCCAATAGCCTGTCCTTTGCTATTAGAAAACAGTATTGGCAGGGCCTTGATCATCCAATCCTAGACTCATCTTTGCTTTTTGAACATTTGTCCCTCTTCTGCATACACCCCTGGTCCATAAATTCTTGAAACCATATTGTGCTCTTTGAATCCAGACCAGAGGTGGGTTGCTCCCGGTTCAGTCAGGTTCTATAGAACTGGTAGTAAAACCGGTGGGAGGCTCCGGCCACCCGCCATGACGTCACCATGGATGATCGGCGCATGCACAGAAGCGTGCACGCTCCCGCTCCCGCTGCTAATCGGTAGTAAAAGTAAGTGGAACCCACCCCGATCCAGACTTCTGCCTATTCCTAGTGGCAAATGTCACTACATTATCTCTGCGAAAGCCTGGAGAATAGGGGAAAATCTCAGCTCACTGGAGTTAGGCCTCCATCTGAGGGAAAGAGAGTGACAAAACATGTGCTGTTCTGTCGTGATGCAAGCATAAAAGAAGAGTATCATAATTTTACTAGGTGCTTTGGGGCATCATGGGCAGGAACAGATCTACACAGCAAATCTTTTTACTTTCAGAAAAGGATCCAGGAAACATAAATTAATTGGCACTGGTTCCTGGGAACATTCCAAAGTAGTGTTTTTCAAACTTGGCAACTTTAAGATGCATGGACTTCAACTCCCAGAATTCTCCATTTAGTCCCACGGAAATGATGTATAAAATACTGTAGTTCTCCAAATACCTATTTCACTAGGTATGTAGCTTGCAGAGGCATGCCAGAATCAGAATTAGAAGTGGTAACTTTATTAGAGAATCCACTCCCTGCAAATGTCATGTTAGTTGGGGAATTGAAGTCCACTGATCTTAAACTTGTCAAGACTGAGAAACACTGGGAACCCCTCAGTTAGAGAGGGGCAATAATGCATTAATAGAGCAATATAAGATAAGGGAATAAAATATTTTATAACTGTTAAATAGATTTTATAATATATTTATTAAATAATAAATAATTTATTAAAATATATTTAATATATTTAACAATTAGATAAAAAGAGCCTCCTGGTAAGGGAAATGGGGGGCATAACATTTAATAATTTAATAAATACAAATAAAAATTAATAAATAAAACAGTGGTTGTTGCAATTTTTAAAGCATGCAGTTTGAATTCACATCCTTTGCAGGGCAGTATTCCCAGAGCAAAGGTGCTTACTGTACAGTATAATCATGTTCTCTCTTCTTTTCTTTTACTGGGCAGGGACTCTTAATTTGAAATAATGCTCATGAATAATCGTTTGGATTTAGAAGAGGTGGGGATATATCAGCTCTTCTGCCGCTTGGATTTAGCCACATCGTTATTGAAAGTAGATTTCCAAGCCGCAGCGCTGATTCATTAAGTGGGATCCTTCAGCGAATGCCGGTAAGTAGATGCAAATAATTGCCTCTCTACATTTTTCTGTATGAACTTGAGTCCAGAATAGAAATTTAATGTCGATCAGAGCAAAGTTATCCACGCATATATGTAATTGCGGCCTGAAAGAAACAGAAAGTGTTTTTCAATGGTTTTGAGATTTCTGCCCTTTAAAGCTCGATCGCATTACGTAATTGAGGCATGGAAAAAAGTATCGGCGGAAAGGCTAAACATCAGAATGTAGAATCTCCTAAGGACGGTTGAAAGCGGCCATCCAAAAGAAATAATAAATTATGGGAGGAGGGGAGGAAATGTGCATGGTTTTGTGTTGGAGAGATTCTCTTGCAAGGTTTCTTGCAAGGCGGGGCCTTCAAGGAGAAGCTCCAAGCGAGCAGGGATCTTGAGTTCGTTTTTCTTGCGATCCCTCCTTAAAAGATCCCGGGGTTGGGCAGAGATTGGACTCGGCAGTGGCCTTCCTTCTTCCAGGACGATGCTCCTCCATGAAGAACGAAAGCCCTTCCCAAGGTTAATGGTATCGTACATTGCAACTTTATGGTATCGTTCTTCTTTTCATTCTTGTCTACATAAATATAGAGATTTACTCTCACGTAATTCCGAGATGTAGGGGAAAAAATACTATATTTCGGATCCATTCGTTTTTCTAGGGCGAATTATCTGTCAATTTGTCGGTGTTATTCAGCCGATATTCAGATAAACTGCTTTGGATATTAGGTTTTTTTTTCCCTAGCAGTGAACAAATATAATTTGAGACGGAGGTTTTGCAACACTATTTTAACTATTAATTTACATTAAGGTAAATTATGTGGGAATATTTTAAAATACGTGTCTTTTCTGTTATGTGAACATAAAGTAGCTGGCAAAACAAAAGGTAAAAAGCAATTTAAAAATCTAATCTGTTTTTTTAAAATTGTCAATGTAGAGTAAAGAATAGTAGCAAAATCTGCTGTGTTGTGATAAACTAAGTGTACCATATTCCCAAATTGCTTGATGCTGTGAAATCTGAGAAATAAATCAGAAAAGCAAAATGATAGATCAGGTTTCAGAAACCAAATTCAGGAAGTTTGAAAGGAAACATTAAAAATGTCATGCCTGGCACATTACTCTGCTTTCTGTCACCTGAGCAGGGTTATGCCTCAGGTCCTGATTAACAGGTAAATTGAAGGATTTAATCCTTAATGCAAGGGTGGACAACTACCATGTGGCCACTTTACAACCTGAGGACTTCAACTCCCAGAATTCCTGTCTCAGCATGGCTGGCTCTGGAATTCTGGGAGTTGAAGTCCACAGGTCATAAAGCTGCCATAATTGCCTATCCCTGCCTCAATGACTTCTGTATTGATGAGATCAAGAATGTTGCAATTTTTGTTAGATGTGTTCAAGCAGAGGCCGGAGAGTCATCTCTTCTTATAGAATCATTAAATTAAACGGTTGGAATAGATTTGGAGCTGATCTAGTCCCACTGCTAAGTAAAATATTTTCTGTCCAAAAGGAAATGCAGTACACATCACTGTAACATATGAATCAGCATCTAGAGTACCACATCTCTAATCATCAGTTGGACCCATTAGTTTCTTCCAGAAAAAGACACATAGGGGAGTGCATGAAATACAGTGATATTTTGTGTTGAATTAGTTGTAGTTTTAAATCCCCCATGTCTGTGTAAATCATGAATAATAAATAAATGCCAAGATAGTCTTCTATTGATATTCATGTAGTAGACATTCCCATTTCTTTTGCCATGACTCTCCTTAGATTTTTTTTAGCATATGATTTTGCATATTCTAAAAATGAATTCTAAATTGTTATTACATTTGTAAATAATGTCTGTAAAGGATTTTCTAGTACTGTAGTATAGAGGATTTTGAAGCCCTTACAGCTTGGATTTCACATGCTAGTTTGGCTGAGAACATTTCCACTCTGCAGTGATGTTTACATTAAAAATTGCAACAATAGATCATTTGTCTCAATAAATAGATTTAAGGTATTCACTTAATAAGCCATTCCCATTTCTCAAATAAAATAAAAGTGTTTTCTTGTTGTATAGATTAACCTATAGAGAATCCAAACCGATTCCCTATAGGTTAATCTTTGAGGATCAAGTGGGAGCTGCATGCCACACCTCTCCTAATAAATTAATGTGGCAGAAGGGGAACCATCATGCTTTCCAAGTTATTTCCAATGCTCAAAATTTTCCATCCATTCTTCTGAAAAAGAGGACGTTAATAATTTCTGCTTTCTGATAGTTAAAACTTCCTTGGTGAAAAATGACTGTTCCTCAAACCTTCTTGTCTTCCAAATAAATATGAAAGAAGCATTAAATGTCTGGAAATATGTTTGCTATGCTACAAGTTGCTTGAAGCAAAAATTTTTTCTCCAGATGTTTTTTATTCACCTGTCTATATCTGTTGCTATTTAAGTATTAATGTTGTTCGGGAAGAGTTGCTGGTTTGGTAGGGCTCTTCCTTTTAATTATATATCAACAGTATGGAAAATAGCAGGAGAACAAAAGGAGTCCTCCTCTGTGCTTCTGTGGTTGCAGAGTTAGTAATGCTAGAAGGCTAGAAGAGCAGCCATTATCCATCAATTATACAGTGATCTGAATTGCTTACTTTTCTTTCTATATTTAGATGAGCTTTGCATTTCTATTTGTTTCTTTTTATTCTTGCAGGGCTTCTTTTAGTTTTTATCTTCTTAGTTGTAATGTTTAATAAAATTATTATAACAAAATCTTAATGCACCAAGAAAACCTTTTTCTATACTGTTTATAATATAAACAGTCACAGTCTCTAGACACAGGGGTGTCAAACTGGCGACCCACAGGCTGGATGCGTCACGCGCAGGCCACGCTCACTGCCACTCTGCGAATGGAAAAATGTCATGATACGTCACATGATGGTGACGTGGCAAGTTTGACACCGTTGCTCTAGAGCAGGGGTGTCAAACTCAAGGCCCACGGGCCGGATCCAGCCCGCAGGGTACTTAGATCTGGCCCCCAGGGTCACCCTGGAAATAGTGAAGGACCATCCCGCAGTGCCTCTCCCAGTAAAAACAGAGCTCGGGCAGGATGCGCATGTCCTTCCCGGGCTGCAGGAGGATTCCCCCCAAGCCCGTCCGGGCCACCACAGGTGCTCTTGACATGAGTGATGTAAAGCTGGCCATGCCCACCCCGGCCACGCCCACTTGGCCCCCCGAGGTCAAACACAACCCTGATGATGATGATGATAGTATTATTATTATTATTATTATTATTATTATTATTATTATTATTAACAGCAACTTTATTGTCATTGTACGTGTATACACAGTATACCCATACAACGAAATTCACTTAACACCCAAAGACCAGGTCCAACACACATAACAATCCCCAAACACACTCCCACCCATCACAATTCCCAACCCCTAAACCACCCAAACAGCCACACAACAGACCAAGTAATACTGTCCAACAGCTCACTGATAGTGGCTCTTTAGTTCATTGTTGAGTGCAATTATAGCTCTGGGATAAAAACTATTCAGAAAACGTGTGGTCCCAGTTTTAATTGTTCTGTGTCTTCTGCCAGAAGGCAACAGTCCAAAAAGATTGTAAGCAGGATGGGAAGAGTCTCTGAGAATGTTATGCAACTTTTTCAAACAGTGAGATTCGAAGATGTCGTCCAGGGCTGGTAGCTGGAGTCTGATGATATTCTGGGCAGTTTAATGATTCTCTGTAGAGCTTTTTTGTCTGCTACAGAGCTGCTCCCATACCATTCAAGAATGCTGTATGTCAGGACACTCAATGGTGCAGCGATAGTAGGACAGAAGTAGATGCTGAGATAGATTTATCTTCCTGAGCATTCTCAGGAAGTACAACCTCTTCTGTGCCTCCTTCATAAGCATGTTAGCATTCATAGTCCATGAGAGGTCCTTCGAGATATAAATGCCCAGAAATTTAAAACTACCAACCCTCTCCACCTCCTCACCATTTATGTACAATGGTAAATGTACAAACACAACCCTGATGCAGCCCTCAATGCAATTGAGTTTGACATCCCTGCTCTAGAAGGACCTCCTTGGAAGAACCAGCTCTAGATGGCTTTCTTGGATTGAAAAAGATTGGAGCCTCCCTGGTCCTAAAGTGGATGGCAGATGCAGTTTCACAGGGGAAGCGTAGCACAAAGAAGACCCAATTCTAAAGGGTTTATAGTGGCAAGACTCTTTCAGAGGGGGCAGTTAATGCTTTATTTTTCTCCTTACTTGTCCTTAAATAATAATAATTTATATAATTGGACATCTGTATATATCCAGGACCATCTTTAACACATGAGAAATGTATCCTTTTGTGGGCTTTACTTTTTTCTTCTCCATTTCATCTTTTTTTTTTCTTCAGATACTTGCTATGGTGGCAAGTGTCTGTGGTGGCACAGTGGTTAGAATGCAGTATTGCAGGCTAACTCTGCCCACTGCCAGGAGTTCGATCCTCACTGGCTCAAAGTTGACTCAGCCTTCCATCCTTCTGAGGTCGGTAAAATGAGGACCCAGATTTTTGGGGGCAATATGCTGACTGTAAACCACTTAGAAAGGGCTATAAAGCACTATGAGGCGGTAAATAAGTCTTAAGTGCTATTGCGAGCGCTACTTAGAATATATTTTACAAAGTCAGTTACCAGAATATCCCCACCAGCCTTCAAGTCTTTCTTGTATGATACAGAGGCCCTTCCTGGAAAGTGGCATCTCTGCCAGCTGTCTTTACCAATGATAGGTCCCCAATAGCAATGCTTATATCTAAGGATATGTAAGTTCATCACCAATTTGTTAGCCTCTTCAATTTTATTTAACGTGCCCCAATAAGAGAAGCAAAAACAATGTGAGACTTCGTGGGTTTTTTTCTTGCCAGTCTCAGTCTAGAAAGCTGGAAGGTGATTCTTTAAAAAAAAAAGTCTCCTGAATCCTTGTCAATCCGGAAACTAATCAATACAGAAGCACTGAGCCCTAGAACCAATTCTGTAGTGGTTATAAACATATCCTGATAGAAATTTAATATTTCATAATGAAACATGAGCATGCCTTTAATATTTCCATATTGGGAGAAAGTGTAACGTGAGAGGGCCAGCAAATCACATTTGGTTTCCATGGTAGAACTTAGAACTGTACGTACTTCAGAAATAAAGCAGAATGATTTTTTTTTTCAGGGTTCTATGCAGCCTCCTCCTCCCCCGCCAATGCCATTGCTTTAACAGCTGCATTAACTTTAATAGTAGATATCTTGAAATATCTGCATTCTTTTCAGGCCTCTGCATATTCCAAAGCATTTCCTTCACATCATTTTTGGAAGCATGCAACCATTCCCCTGTACACATAGTCCAAACTAAGTTGCCACATGCCTTGTTGGGATTTTGGTTCAGCTTGTTGTTCAAACCTAGCAATTGTGGTTAGTTCAATAAACCATAGTTGATCAAGGCTTGGCATTATGCATGAAATTCGGCACTATTGTATACAGTATATATACAAAGACTGAATGTAATATGTTAATCATAAGTAGAATTCCAAAATACACTAAGCACATATCTTCCTTAAGTCAAGTTGCAAAAAAAATTGAAAATTTTGAGTTTGTTGGACCTTCATCAAGCAAGATGAGGGTTTTGTTGACAAAAAATATCTCTCAATTTCTGTAGCTGGTTAAGCCATACTGTAATTTGATGATGATTTTAAGTAGGAAGATGAAGAGCCAGAAAGGCAAATCCCTGGACCAAAATCTATGTAAATTGCATGTTGTTTCTGAGTCATGCAGTGAAATGTGCTGTGTTGAGAAAAGAAATTAAACACATTTCATATGTCAGCCACTGTCTCGTGATACTATTTACAGAACTGGATTTATTTTTAAATGTGAGTATGTCAATAGAACAGTTTTGGGTTGCTAGTAAAAATGATTAACTGGAAGATTGGAAAAACAAATAGATATTTCATTAGATTTACGATATTATCTTAAATATTGTTTAACAGTATTGCACGTTTTTATTAGCTGCTAACTTAGAAACTTAGATGTTATTTCGTGTTATAGTTAAAAGAGCCAGTTTAGTGTGATGGTTAAGGCACCAGGCTAGAAACTGGTTGACTGTGAGTTATAGTCCTGCTTTAAGTACAAAGCCACTCTCAGCCCTAAGAAGTTGGCAATGGCAAGTCATTTCTGAAATCTTGTTGTTAAGAGTCAAAACTAACTCAAACCACCTCTTTCCCCAAAAGACACTGTTTCCCAATGATTTGGGCTAAGAAGGTATAGGCAACATTATATGTAACAGAAAAGTGAATTTATCACAAAAAAGGAAATTGATTTACATTTATTTAATTTAGATATTTATTATTCCCATGTGCTATTTCTTCAAACAGCCAGGGACATAAGATTAATGAGGCTACTTCTTTTGGATGGTGTGCAAATCTGAATACTAGTGGCCATGTCTCCGGTTTAGTTTGCTGGGTGTAAACTGTTGGGAATCTGCCGGTAAGCTTTCCAATAAGAACACATCTAGCAGAATAGATATTTTCACTACCTGAACATGTGATCCACTTCATTGATGTTCTTCTCCCCATTCATGTGTGTATGTAGAACAAGATCTTGTATGAAATCAATGTTCATAGTTACCTGCGTGTTTGATTGATTAGATGCCACCAAGTCATTGCTGACTCCTAGCAACCACATGGATAGATTTTCCCTACAATGATCTTTCATATCTTCTAATGATGCACTCAGTATCACTGTAACACAGACTGTCCACCTTATTGCTGGTCATCCTTTTCTTCTCTTTCCATCCCCTTGCACAACATTAGAGTTTTCTCCAGAGAGCTAGATCTTTGTAAAATGTTTTGGTAAATGTAAAGGCCAAGTATGAAACAAAAACATTTAAATTCTAAGAGAGAAAAACATCATATGAAGTCATAGCCCACATGGTGAAGTGATTAGAGAGGCTTCCCCAGCTTGGTGCCTTCTAGTTTCCATATATACTTTGTGCAGGCTAAACATATCTCGTGGGCACCAAATTGAGTCAAGCTGAGATAAGAATATGCTGCTGAGACCACAGTCTCAATTCCCATTCAGGTTTTATTAATTGATGATTTTGGCCATCTTTTGTTGGAAGCCATGAGCTGCTGTTAAAATTTGGATAGTTGAATTAAGGCACAGAAAGTGAGTAGGAACATATCACACATATATGGTAGTTAAGAGACTTTGGCACCTTGTCTTTGTTTTTATGGGTAATATGAGATTCCAGGGTTTATACTGCATCTTCATATATTTTCTACCTCTTTTGTGTTAGCAAAGCATGCGGAGGGACCTTCAAGGACTGCCTATGGCCTTCAGCATCTGCATGTTGCTTGAGGAAAGAATAGATAGAGATTTTGTCGTGATGTAAATCCTTTTTTTTCTTTCCTGTAGGACTGCCAGTGAATATTAGTCATGCCGGTGGAATGGAGAAACTGAGTAATCAAGAACTTGAGAATTTAGCTTCTTCAACCCATGATCAGGACAAAGGCAGTGTGAAGCAGGGCAGTTACAACATTAACATGTTTCCTTTGTGCAGAAATCATGGTAAGGACAAAACCATTTAAAAAAAAATAAAAATAAAATGTACCACAAAATGTGGTCTTGTGTACCTCTTTGGGATCAAGTTATTAATGACCACATTTTCACAGAATCGTTAACCAGTTGTTATCATACTGTGACTAAGATGCATTGTGGTGTGCATAGCCCATTAGGTTATATTTGTCTCTTTTTGATAGTGTAAAACCTAAATAGATAAATTGCAATCAAATGAAATGAGCTAAATATGAAAACAAAGAGATTGCAGTTCTATCCCTAGATAAATTCATACCAGCTGTGTGAAAATTTATATAATTATAGAAACATGAATGCAGAGTGTGAATCAGTCTTCTGTCTGATCAAACTACTACATATCCTTAAACACAATACTTTTATTATATAATCAACCTGCCTAGGACATGAACTGTACCAAAGATTGAGCCATTCACAATTTCCATCTGGACTCTTCCATCTCTTTTATATCATAAAAAGGAAGTGTGGAACAATTTTGCATTGTTTTATATTAATTCAGCTAGAAGAATCTGTCTATAGGTATTCTAAACCCGTGATGCTCTTTCTTATGACATTGGGGTATTTCTGTTTTAACCCATAATTAATGTATTAAATATCGTTTGAGCGGCATGGTGGACTAGAGATGGAGTTTCGCCTCAAAATCAAGAGGCTGTGATTTCAATCCTAGGTAGTGACAAATATTTCTCTCTCTGGATGCAAAGAGAAAATATCTACTGTGAGCTCCACATAGGCATCAGGAAGGGCATCTGGCCAGTAAATGCTCAACTCCATTCAGTCGCCCCAACTCCACCCTGATGCTGGGGATAACAGGGTTATTTAAAGAAAAAAACATGTATTAAATATAATTAACCTCATTAACCAGTTTGGTCTAGTAGTTAAGGCATCAGGCTAGAAAGGCAAAGATTGAGTTTTAGTTCTGTCTTAGCCATAAAAGTTAGCTGGGTAACTCTCTCAGCTCTCTAACTCCCTCTCAGCCTAACCCACCTCACAAGGTTGTTATTGTGGGAAAATAGGAGGAGGAAGGTGTGTTGGGTATGTTTTCTGCCTTGAGTTATTTATAAAAATAATAAAGGCAGGATACAAATAAAATAATCACTTTGAGTTATAGGTGGACTTTTAAAATCTAATCATTGATGCCAATTATTCAGATGCTGATCATATCTGATGTCTTTAGAAGAACAGCTCAGATCTGCTTTTCACCCAGCAAGTTCTCTATGTTCTAATGGCTTTGAATATGCCAATATTATTTTCTTCCCAGGAGGGAGTAAACGAAATCAAGGCTACTACAGTACACAAGAACAGTCTGGGAACAATCCTAACAACTTGAGCAATAGTCCACAAGTCCAAGCCCCAGAGAAAGTGACTCTTATTGTAGATGGAGCAAGATTTGTTGTAAACCCACAAATTTTCATAGCCCATCCTGATACAATGTTGGGAAGGTAAGTGACTCAGAGGTGTAAAGAATTCCAGAAGCTGTTCTACATGCTTTCCTATCATAGAGGTATGGCCAGACTAAGCAGGACTATGAATGGTATTTGTAAAATTATATCAAGTGCTTAGATCTAGTTTTCCTATTCAGTGTTAGCAATTCAATCACAATTTCTAGGCTTCAAAAAATAAAAATTTTGTAAAAGCTAGATAATTTTCATGATAGTCCCCAATAATAGTTTGCTAATATAGAAATTATCATTTGCTTAAGTGGTCTTAATCTGATCTTCCTACCTTAATTTCTTTCTGTTTTTCAGAATGTTCGGACCAGGACGAGAATATAACTTCACTCGTCCAAATGAAAAGGGTGAATATGAAATTGCAGAAGGCATCAGTTCCGCTGTTTTTCGGATTGTGCTGGTGAGGAATTCCATGATATTCCAGAAGCAGAGCTATTCCTCATATTTGTAAAGTTCCTATTCTTGCTTTCAACTTCAAGGGAATTCTGATTTTCTTAATAAGTATTTTTATTCTGTTTAGACTTCAGATTTTTCTCTGAAAATTTTATTTGTTAGATTTATATCTTATCTTCCCTCTAAGAGCTCACACAGTTGCTTAGGGATCTTGGAGCATTTTATTTCCACAACATCGACCCTATTAGATAAGTTAGGCTGAGATAGGGTGACTGATCCAAAATCACCCAGTGAGTTACAGTGGTTAAGAGCAGACCTGAACCTGGATCTGTCTGCTCCTAATACATTAGATGGATTGCTCTCCATGATATATTGAGCTTTGAATCCCAAATCCACATAGGAAAAGACTTGGAATTCTGGGAGTAGAATTCAACTCATCTAGCAAATACAAAGTCAAAGTTGAACATGATATGTACACACAGAGACATACACACATATATAATCTCACATTTTTATCATATGATTTATTCTGTATTCATTATTCAGGGAGGGAGGAAGGATATAACACTATTAATGGTCAGCTCTTAAAAAAATATAGAAAATAATTGTCATTATGTACCAACGATATGTAAAGCATAACAATATGCCTAAACTATCAGTAGATGACCAATTGCCTGTGCATACTATTTTGAATGTTTTTGATGGGGAAATGTATTAATAATAATATTTTATCCCTTGACTTTTCAGGATTATTACAAAACTGGAATCATTCACTGTCCTGATGGAATTTCTATTCCTGATCTCAGAGACACTTGTGACTATCTTTGCATCAATTTTGATTTCAACACAATCAAGTGTCAAGATTTAAGTAAGTATAACAGCATTTATAACAGCCTTCCGCACACAAGTGCTCTCCAGATATGCTAACTTCCGTTCCAGAATCTTATAACCATCATGGGTCCATTGATCATGCTGGCTAGCATTATGAGAGTTAAAGCTCAGTCCCTTTTGGAGAGATTTAAAGTAAGGAACACTCACTTAAGGGAGAAACGTATCAATTCTCTATACCTGTGATGGTGAACCTATGGCATGCGTGCCACAGGTGGCACGCGGAGCCATCTCTGCGGGCACGCGAGCTGTCGCCCTAAGTCAGTTCCACCGCACATGCTCGCACGCCTCCCGCCAGCTGATTTTTGGGTCTCTACTGCACATGTGGGAGATGCGTGCACATGCGCGGGAGGTCAGGGGGTCACACACGCATCCCGGTTTTGGTTCCAGGAGGCTTCAGGGAGGCCTGCTAGGCCCAAAACAGGGTGTGGGGGTCATGTGCGCATGCACGGGGGCGGTGGAGCACTGGGGGGTTACGCATGCGCAGGAGGTGGGGGAGTGCGGGGGGTCATGTGCCCATGTGTAGGGGGCAGGGCAAGTGGGGGGCATTGCATTATGGGTGTGTGCACACTTTTGGCACCTGAGGGAAGAAAGGTTAGCCATCACTGCTCTATACATTTATATGCTTTTATATTTTGTGCTAGATCTTGCTGTTGAGTCGATATGAGACTGATAGAGTTAGACGTATAATATTCAGCCATATTTAGGAAATCCATATATCTTATTTCCTTAGGTGCATTATTGCATGAACTGTCCAATGATGGGGCTCATAAGCAGTTTGATAGCTATTTGGAAGAGTTAATCCTGCCAATAATGGTTAGTAGTGCTAAAAAAGGAGAGCGTGAATGTCATATTGTCGTATTAACGGATGAAGACATAGTGGACTGGGATGAAGACTATCCACCTCCAATGGGGGAAGAATATTCACAAAGTAAGTATTTTTAAATGTTACATAAAATACTTTTTAAAGTAAAAATAACATTGCACTTTTATTAAAAAAAAATCTCTGATAGTGTCTTGTGCAAATACCAATTTCCAAGGATCTGTGCATCCCAATATTACAGTTAAGAATATAAAAGTCATATTGATCAGGACATACTACACTGCTGAATGTAAAACTGTATGTTTAAGGTCACATACCATTATAAATTACATAATATAATCTTTGCAATAAATGTACAATTTTAGTTTATTAATTGCTTGGTTGATAGATAATTTCCTTGCTACAGGAATGTTACATTGTTTCTTTCGACAGCAGTATTTTTCCATGGGAAAAATACAGTGCTTCCTGAAGTTTCTGCACTGGTATTTTAAACGCTTTGTAAAATATGATTATGAAAGTGATATGGGTATGAAATGCCTTACAATTCGATAGAGAGATGGGTGGCATATAAACCAATCAACCGAACAAAGCACCAGGCTAGAAAGCAGGAGATTGTAAGTTTAAGTTCTGCCTGATCCATGAAAGCCAGCTGGGTGTCTTTGGGCCAGTTACTCTTTCTCAGTCAAGCCCACTTTACAGGATTGTTGTTGTGGGGAAAATAAGAGGAAGAAGATGCTTCCTGCCTGTTGGATAAAGGCAGGATGCAAATAAATGATAAAAAGCCATATCTGAGTGGAGCAATGAAGAAATATAAATATATAAATCAATGCATTGAAAAACTTCATAGGCTTTTAGTGGGTATGGCGCAGAGTTGGGTTTCAACAGATTCTGACCAGTTCTGGAGAACCGGTAGCGGAAATTTTGAGTAGTTCGGAGGACCGGTAGTAAAAATTCTGACTGGCCCCGCCCCCATCTATCCTCTGCCTCCCAAGTCCCAGCTGATTGGGAAGAAATGGGGATTTTGCAGTAACCTTCCCCTGGAGTGGGATGGGAATGGACATTTTACAGTATCCTTGCCCTGCCGCGCCCACCAAGCCATGCCACGCCCACCAAACCACACCCACAGAACCAGTAGTAAAAAAATTTGAAACCCACCACTGGTATGGTGCCATGTCTACATTGCATTTCAAAGCCAACAGCAGGGTGGCAAAGACATAGCGGTGGCAAGACAGCATTTCTCTGTTCAGAGGCCTTTCCAGATGTGACTTTGGCAGAAAGTTACTAACCCATTGAATGGTGGATGGTGAGTGAAGGATGAGAGTTTCTGTAGAACATTAGCAGCTTGAAAAACAAGATGGCAAGCAAGATGCTAAACCTCTTTGGGGAATTCAAAAAAGATAAGTTCTAAGTAAAACATTCACAAACAGAAGGCTATTACAAAGTCCATGAGCAAGATCAGGGGTGAAATTTAAAATTTTTCCCTACTGGTTCTGTGGGCGTGGCTTGATGGGGGGGTGTCCTGTGACTAAGTGGGCGTGGCCAACTCAATGTCACTCACAGCCACACCCGCTCAGTCACAAGACCCCACCACCACCAAGCCACGCCACAGAACCTGGTAGGAAAACATTTTAAATTTCTATTCTGACACCCTCTCACCATCCGCTCTCCCTTTGCTTTGGGTTGGGGGCTGGGGCCCAGAGATGCGCCATTCACTGAAGCTGCCGCCTGCTCACCACCTGTCAAACGGGTCGGGGAATGCACCATTCCCCAACTCCAGCCTTGCCGCGGAGCCGCCCCCGCTCGCCCTTCATCACGCGGCATGTCCTACTCCTTACCTTTCTCCCGCAGCTGGTTGCCAGGGAAGGCAAGCACCCAAAAGTTACCTGCGCTACTCTCCTTCGTGAATGTGCTGCCATCATTGCTGCCCTGGTACACGCGCCGGCTGTGCAAGCGCACATCCAACCTGCCACTGATGAATGAATGCAATAAATGGAGTGCGCTTGCGCAGCCAGCGCATGGACCAGGGCGGTGATGGTAGTGGCACATTCAAGAAGGAGAGTCTCTTTCTGGGCGTGTCTCTTCTGCCTGTTGGGCCACTTCCTGAAGCTGGCAGCTCTGCAGCCAACCACTTTGCTTTTTCTCTCTTTTTCCTCATGGGAGACTTGCGTGGTGGCACCAGCAGAAGCGCTGTGGAGAAGTGGCCCAACAAGCAGAAGTGCTGCACCCAGAAAGAGAAGGGCAAGAGAGGCCAGTGGGCTGCAGAGGCTAAGGCGGGTGGGCGGAGCCTCCAGCTGCCATCGCTACCGGTTCTCCGAACTACCGGCCATCATCGCTACCAGATCAGCTGATCCGGTCTGAACCAGATCAGCGTTTCACCCCTGAGCAAGATGCAGAATCAATGGAATGGGAAGGGAATGAGAGAGAAGCTTCATCAGGGCTGCAGTATTGCTTGGCAGAGCAGAAGGATGTTGAGGCAAGAATTTGCTCCAGGGAAAATAAATCACATTGTGGCTGCTGAACCACAGCAAGAATTTTCTGAGAAAAGCAGGAACTTCCTAATTTAAGGGAAAGAAGTAAACATTTCTGCTTTTACAGAAATAAGAGCAAGGGAAAAAATAGAAATTGTATCTGAGAGGGAGGCCTTTTGACATTATGAAATTGCCAGTCTTCCTTGTAGGCTAGTATAGGGTCTTTGGAAATCACCAATATTTTCAACTGTTTTTTAAAAATTTTGAAAAAAAAGTTGCCCAATTATTGTTTATCTCAGCAAATTTAAGAATGGCTGCTGTACTCATATTCACTAATGCTGTACTCATAGTCATTAATTCATGTGGCTTTTTTCTCACCTCCAAGTTCTGTATAGTTCTAAGCTCTACAGATTCTTCAAGTACATTGAGAATCGGGATGTTGCAAAAACTGTTTTGAAAGAACGAGGCCTCAAAAATATAAGAATTGGCATTGAAGGTATGTAAAGCGTTTCCTAAGTAATACAAACTGTTAAAAAGGAAAGTAGCTGCATTTTCCTTTTCAAAACATCAATTTACTGATTTTATTAGTCAGCCCTATGTAATTTTGCAGATTCCTTAAATGATACATTTTGTTGAGGTCTTTGGAGTGACCCACCCTGTCAGTTCCTGACAAACCCTTATGCTTAACATTCCTTGAGCTTTGGCTATTTCTGAAGTTTTCCATTAGGGTGGGGTGGGTGGATGTTATATAAAGCCTGCTCCTCCCTTCTGAAATTAGCAGCAGCAACCTGACTCAAGGCCAAGCTAGACATAATAGTTCAGTTTTGTGTACTGAACACATGAGTCAGTTCCATTTATATTTTCAATGCTGAGAAAGTCTCTTCTTTGTGTCAGTCTTTTTCAGTCTAGTCTCTGCCTCAAAATGTCTTGGGATCAATCCTCCCAGACCAAATGGTCTCCTTTTTAGGAGGATATTATCCTTTTAGGAATATTTATTACTTGAAGAAATAATTAAGCTTACACCTAGGGACTGGAGTTGGGGGGGGGGAGTTTGGGAGGATAATTATTTATTTATTTATTATTTATATTTTTATTTATATGCCGCCCTTCTCCAGAGACTCAGGGCTGCTTACAAGGCGTTAAGCAATAGCCTTCATACTTTTGTATATTTTATACAAAGTCAGCTTATTGCCCCCACAAACCGGGTCCTCATTTTACCTACCTTAGAAAGGATGGAAGGCTGAGTCAACCTTGAGCCTTGTGAGAATTGAACTCGCAGTAATTGCAGGCAGCTGAATTATACCAGAATAACTGTGTTTCAGGTTACCCCACTTGTAAGGAGAAAGTGAAAAAGAGGCCTGGAGGACGCTCTGAAGTTATCTATAACTATGTTCAACGTCCATTCATCCAGATGTCTTGGGAAAAGGAAGAAGGAAAAAGTCGGCATGTTGATTTCCAGTGTGTTAGAAGCAAATCTCTAACAAACCTTGTAATGGCAGGTGAAGACGTAGCAGAAGATCAAGAGATTATGTTGCATCACCCTCCCCAGGTAGACGAGCTTGATCGATTAAATGCACCACTCTCTCAAATGGATGCCAATGAAGTGGCAGATTAATTAAGCAGCACAAATGACTCTCAAATGGACTTGACTGAGCTTTTGGGTGGAGACTTAATGCCCATTTCAGAGCCGAATTTTCTTGTCATGGTTGCTATAGTTTCCAAATATAGTCTCTTCAAGCCCGGAAGACTATTATTATTATTTTTTATCAAATTTGCTTCTTGAGGGTCCCAAGCATTCTCTTAGGACAACTGGAAATCTGAGAATTAAGTTAACATTTATCCCTGTGGCTAAATACTTGAATTGGAACTAAAAGAATGGAAACCTATTTTCAACTCACTTGAATTGAAAGGATTGTTTGATTATATGTCAAGTCATTTTCGATTCCTACCACTTAGATTTTCTCCATGATGATCTGTCCCTAATTTGTTTGTTCAAGTCTCCCAACAGTGCACTCCCAATGTCCCTGCCACTGTCCCCCCCATCTTGCTGCTGGTTGTCCTCCTCTTCTCTTTTCCTTCCTGCTTTCCCAGCATTAGAGCTTTTTCTCGAAAAACTTTGTGTAAAATATTAGAAGTGGGATAATTTGACACTGGTCATTTGTGCCTCAAGTGATAAAGTCTACGTTGAGCTGTTTGAGGTTCCATTGAATTGAAGGAATACAACATAAAAATGTGTTTAAGTCTTCATTAACATTAGTCTACACAGACTCAGTTTTAAAAGGTACCATATCATGAAGGATTCCATTGTGGTATTACAACCATTATCAGCATCATAGCAATGAGTTTGGTACCCTTCATCCTCCATTACCTGACTGAAGTAGATAGTTATAGAGAAACACCACACCTACGATGCATGCACTTTTGTCACCTTTCTCTTCAATTTCCTAATACTGACATAATAGCTCAGAAAGGAAGATCAGACACACTTACCAAGGTAAGCACCAACAGGGAGAAATTGGAATCTGTGGGTGCCCAGTGAACTACTCAAATTAGTTACAAGGAAAGGACCAATCTTACTTTACATATATGCCTAAATTGTGCTTACTTACTGGAAATAAGCTACTGGAGTACAAAAGAAAGTACCACTTGCAGAAAACAATGGGCTCAAACATTCAAGCAGTAACACTGGATAAACGAAGATGGCTGAACATCCTCTCCACCCAAAGCAAAGGCTGCAAAGCAGCATTACTTGAACAGAAAGAACTTTCTTGTGGAAGGATTCCACAGCATTTTTTAAGAAAGTGACTGTTGCAGGAAAGCCTCCACTGCAGCAGCTATCGTGAGTCTTGAGTATGGTAAACCCTTTGTGGTTGTTTCATATAATCCGTCCTCTTGGCTAAAGATGTTAATCTTTGATACTAGCAAGGATGTCAGGTTTTATGTCATTACTTCTCAGCATTTTGGCTAAGATCAATTGTAGGAGTACGTTTCCTAGCTGTCTCAGCACCTTGGGACAGAGTGCTTGAGACTGGCCCTTGAAAGAGTCAATTGGGAAACATAATCAGCAGGCTCAGTAGAAAGTTATATATAGCAGGAGTCCTCAAACTCTCATAAGTGCAGTTCACAAAAATGATAAAATGAGTTTCTGTGATCCCCTCCTCTCATTAACAACTTATTTTCATTGGGATTATGGTTGGGCAATAAATAATAAAACATTTTAATAATGGAAATTGAATTCATGTATCAAATCAAGCCATGATAAAACTTTACATTTATTGTCAGAACAGTGGAGGAGATCCCCACTTCTATGAATAAATGCCAAAGTTAATATTAAGGGGAAAAGTTTTTTTTCCTTTCCGTTCTATTATAATTTGCCTTCTTATAATTTGAAATGATTATAGAGCATCTTGCACTCTGGAATGATGGAGAACCGGTCTTGTCCTTTTTGTTCAGGTACAGTATTTCTTCAGATACAAGAATATTATACCTCCGTGCCCCCTTTTTTTCTTTTTCACAGCTAAGCATTCCTAATTCCTAAATCTTCTTTTGTAATAAGACTTGGTTTCTAATCCGCTGCTAATTCTTATTTCCCTTTCTGAATCTGTTTATCTAAATCTTTTTTAAACTGTGGTACCTAGAACTAGATGCCGTAGTCAATATTGGGATCAGTGAGTGCATAATCTTATGCAAGCCACATTGTAAAGTAAGTTTGAATATGGAATACAATCAGCTCATTCTCATACAAATTAAATATTTCCTTGGAGGCCTGTCATCTAAACAAATTTGTTTTAAATTTGGCAATTTCTAAATTGGTTGACTTTTTTTCCCGATTTTCCAATGTCAGTAATGCAAATTTGGTTATCATATCTAATGTATTCCATGGTATTTACATGTTGATGGGCTACAGTGTTCCAACAGTCCCAGAAAGCATGAATGGTGAAGGGTGATTTAGGAAAATCATGGTTTCAGTGGGTACAGACCAAAGCTGAATCTAACTCACTGGATAGATAAAATAAAAAAGTAACTTTTAAATTAAAACAATAACAAATTCAGGTCTGTGGCGTTTAGGCTCATTGTATCCCAGTGAACTGAATATCATCTATCTCACATGCAAAGGCCAGCAGCATTTCTTGTAGAACTACTCTGGTCTCTAGAGTGAGCATTAGAGGCAATACAAATTCAAAAGTTACCCACACAGATTTATTCTAAAAAAATATTTAATTGAGGCAAGTTTTTATTTTCCTCCCACTGCATTTGAGCAAATGGAAAATTTCAATTCAGTAATCACAACCTTGTTCTTTTGTTATTGTGATTTAGTTTATAAGTTAAATCAATGCTTAGCATTTACAAGTTCATGCTATTTCAGTATTTTTTGTAAAAGTTATTTTATATACTTCTTCATAGACTTTATTAAAGTATGTTTTAATCTATTTTCCTGTGACTTTTCTTTTGATGCCTTCTCAGCCATGGAGGATCAGTAGAAATTGCATATATGTGTATCTATATTTACTTAATAGGCTCCACCTATGTGTGCACATATACAATATATCTACAACTGATGTTACAAAGTCTAAATGCTGCCATCTAATTTCTATCACATGTGAACCAGATTTGGTTATAACCAAAATGGTTTGCACGATATGCCTCTATAAATTCCCTCACTCTCATTGTAAGAGAAAAGGTTTATATGAACTACTATAGTTTTCCTTTAATCAACATCCTGATGCCATGTTTTCTTTTCTTCCTGTCTCCCTTTCCTAAATTACTTGTTGATTTTTTGCAAGTATATAAATTTACTAACTGGAATAAAGTTGTGAATCAACTGCATTTGAAAAATATGCTGAACAAATACATCTAGTCACATACTGACCATAAGATATAATGAAGCAACTTTTAGTAACTTTTCAAATTCAGAAAACCACCACAAGAAATAGCAAAACTACATTTATTGAAAATGAATTTTATACATTTCAGAATGCAAAGGTTGGTCTCCAAATAAAACCAACAAATCACATACAAAGTGTACTAAATTGTACATTGCATTTAGGAACAGCCATATGCAGATACAAAATAATTGTCATCTACCAAAATAAGGCAGAACCCAGGCACAGCGGCTAGTCAGTACCTAAGTGTAGTATAACCTGCTAGGAATCATACACAACCAGCAGTGTGTTGCTTATATTTACCTTAAGCCAGGATTTTTATTTTCTCCCATGGCCCAGCAGGCCAAAATCCAAAACTTTTGCAGTTTTGGGGATATGTGGAAGATACATCAGTGATTACTTAATAATTCAGCTCAGCAAAATATAGCAACTTGCATTTACTAGTATAATATAATTGCTTGGCCAATTAGATCGAAAAATTGCTTTAGAACAAGGAAGTGTCATCCTAGAAAAGTGACTTTCAAAAAGTACTATGAGCTTATGCAAGATGTCAAGAGCCAGCAATATGAAAGTGGCAGCCTATGGGGATTGCGTGCTTCAGTGCAGCACAATTATGGTTATGAGTTCACAAATAACATTAACAATAATGGCAATTAAGCTTTAACGGGGTTCCTTTTAAGTTAGAACTTAATACTTTCACATTTTAATTAGCTGGGACTTTTAATTCACTTTGAGAACAATACCAACATAGCTGGGGTTAAAATGAGAAGGAATAAGGACTCAAGTTCATATGGACCACTCTCTAAACTGTGAGTTAGGTGCCAGCATTGTGCATTCAAATATATAACCTATTTTGTTAGAACCCTTGCTTTATAGTGTTCCCAAACACACCATTGGAATCCAAATGCTAATGCTTCCATGCAAGGGGAAATGGCAGTGTTTTTTTTTTAAATGAATGATTTAATTTTAATTTAATTTTCATAAGCTTGTCAATATACTATCCTTGTTTGTAAGTGTCCTGAATTTAGCCAGTCATAATGGCAAACAAGCACACTACACAATTACAGGATAGTCTACTGAGATCTTGCCACTGTCCAGATTGCAGAACTCAAAGTTAGTCTTTTGCTTATAGCAATATGCTTTATTCAATTTCACTAAAATAAAAAAACACACAATCCCTCTAGATATTTCCTAATTACAAAAGACAAGCAGAATTACACCTTGTACTGTAAATTCAATTTACCCGCATGCATACTATCCTTGCATTCATAATCTATCACACTGTGCACAACAACTATGTACTATATTGTCATAATGCAAAAGAAACACATTACTGTAATGGAATAGAACGTAACACAAATGTTCTTCCCTTTGAAAAGTTGTTGGCTGGTCAACTCTCTTAAGCTATCTGGTTACCCTGAGGGTTTTCTACAGCTTTTTAAGGCTTATTAAGCACCAGTTATATATGCTACATGTTTTCAATATTTAGCAAGCACCAGAATTTAACTTCAAATCCATCATTATCTAGCAAGTAAGCAAAATCCTAGCCTCATTATGGATGAGACACGTCCAAACGTGGTAATTGTAAAACTAGGCACTAGATACTTAAAAGCAGAAGCAAGCCTTGCTTCCTTTAGGCTTAAGTTAGATGCAAATATTTCATTTGCTTCTTCCTCACTGACGTTTCTGTGTAGATTCACATCTAGAAAGCTACTTGGATAGCAGCCTTTCTCAGACTCTTGGAGATAGCAAAACTTGTGGCATTGAAAATAAGGATGAGGAGAAAGAGTTTAAATTACTGCTTTATGTGGTAGAAAGGCACATGGCACACTCTCAGAGAACATGTATGTCACTATGGCATGTATATAGCTACAGTAAAAAAAAAAATCGTTTTTTAAAAGTCCAGTGGGTAAGAACAGATGAAACAGAATGAAACAATTTATGGTCAATGTAAATGCCTGATATTACTGCAAGCTGCTTCAGATCTTTCAAAAAGAGGGCTTTTGAATAATCCTGGAACTGACATATCCTTCCCGATCTAGTTGATCAGAATACTTTAGGTGCTCTTTGTCTATTAATTTATAAGAAAAGAACCAGAATATATTAAAGCTTCATAATTTTATTCAATTACCTGATAAAAAAATTAATATACTTAAAAATATTCTGGCACATAATTTTCAGGTCAATCCTTTTTGTGTTTCCAAATGCATTACGTGTACGTTTCTTTATAATCATTGTGCCGTGACTGAAAATAAATCATCCTACATACTTAAAAATTAAATTACAGGCACAGATCAGTAAATGAGAATAGTAAATGGTACATTGTGTAGAGAGTTGGGATTTGCCTGGATAAACTGGATATCATAATAATGTCAAAGAGCCCAGTGTAACTACTACAACCAAATAGAAACTTTGATTAAACAATATGAATTCATGTAATTTGCATTACAAAACTATAGAAGCTTGAAATCTTAGAATCATTCTCTTTTTAGAACTATATATTGGCTTTTATATGTAAAAGATCTGAAAGAAGGGAAGGAAGGATGACATATTGTTTCCTATTTCCTTACAGTATTGCCTACAAAGTGTTAATGTTATTACTAGTGATCTGCTTTTTTTTTACCAAATAGAAAAAAATATTCTTTAAACAGGTTTTACTAGAAATTGCCACCATTGCTCATAACATTGCTTATAGACTACATAATGTTATACATACCAGAAATTTATTAAAAGGCATAATACTTCCAGATGACTATTTTAGTACCAGCAGTAAAGTGCCGCAGGTTTTGAAGCCATTACTGGACTGAAAAGATGCTATCAAAAAAACACGAATAGCCCTATATTTAAGGCAAAAGGGATTCTGCCATCCTATGGGATAAACTACTGAGAATCAGCTCTCTCACCATAGTAATTACTGCTCTGCTTCTTCTGTAATGCCTTAGCCCTTAGAACTGAGCTGTATTTTCAGACAGCACTTGTAAGACAGAACACATCATACTCGTAATTAAAAGCCTCTTTCCTTTGTTGATGAAGTAACAGTCTTAAAAAAATTTACCTAAAGACCAAAGATTAATTAATAAAATCTGCAAATGCATCTGTAAGTGCGATTTGTGGAATTTTCCCCGTTCCATCACTTGTAATGTAAACAGAGCATAAGATGTCATTTTGCATTCTTCAAACTTTCACAGCCCCCCGGGGTAAAAGTTTTGAGACAAAAGTAAACCATCTAGCAAAGAGCTGTTATTTTCCTGACTTCATGTAGGATGGTATTGCCCCTCGAGCAGTCAGGCCTTCAAAACGTTTGTAGGTATAATTGATAAAGACCCAGTCTTTGTTCTTGTAGTCTGTTTCTGGATGGTTACCTGTGGTCACTGATGAAAAACAAAATTCAGAAGGAATATTAAACCATTTAATACACGACAGAAGTTTGTTGTGAATATTAAGAGAGTTGCAAGATGGGAGAATATTGTCATTCAGCTTGAGTGTATTATAAAGAAGAGAAAGAGAGAATTAAAAATCTAGAAGGGAGGGAGGGAGAGAGGAAGGAAAGAGCATGACATCAACCCTGCTAAATTAAATCAGCTTTTAAACTCATAGAACGAGTTTTAAAAAAAAAATCAAGCATTTAATCATATATGAAATAAGAGATTCATGACAATGCATTTCGTATCAAAAAATATCAAAAAGGACGGGGGGAAGACATTAAGATCACAAAGATGCCAGCTGCTTTCTATCATTCTTACCCTACAATCCTGACCAGCCTTCTTTTCGATGTAATCTTAAAACTGGACTGTAGTAAACTCCTCTAAATTTGGAGTTTCTTTTTCTTTTTTAGTTCCCATTTCTGGGATTCATCTACTGTATCCAGGCGCTAATAAGGATAATCTCTGCTTAGCTTCTGAGATCAGCCAAGGCCAGCTAAGTATTGCCATCAGCTAAGGCAAAATTAACAGCAGGGATATGTAAAACTTACAATTCTAAGAAAAGCTACAACAGGGGTGTCAGACTCATGTCATCATGGCGGCATCATGTGACACATCAGGACTTTTTCTCCCCCCCCCTTTGCTAAACCGGGCGTGGGCATGGCCAGCATGTGACACATCTGGCCCACGGGCCAGGAGTTTGAAAGCCCTGCACTACAACATTCTGTCAATCTGGACATTTCAGAACTGGTCTGCTCATTTCCTGGAAATAAATCTTCTGTAATGGGAAATAGTTTACTACTGTATTATGAAGCTAGTGTTTTGTCAAAAGAAAAATGGAACATTCTGATGTTCCCAGAATCCTCTGTCTCTGGAGGAGAAACTTTTGCATACTACTTAAGAGGAGATATGACACCCCCAAAGTAGAGACTCTCTACCACAGATCCACCCTGCTCCTAAGTGAAAAAGCCTAAGGATTTGCAGTGATTTTTTTCTACGAAAAGGCTATTACTTGAGAGAATCAGTGAAAGCTAACGTCTCACTTAAGAATAAAATAAAGCCAAAGAGATTAATAATATACCTGCAGATTTAAGGATATCGGATTCCGGAAATTCATCGAAGTTT